CAGTTGAGCTTGCCTTCTTCCCTGTGCGCTAACAGCATACTTTCGTCAGGAAACAGATAAAATGGGAGCGATGCTGCCCAGGGAGAACCACAACGTGGACGGGTACAAAAATAGTCCAAAATTAATGACAGTTCAATGTTCCTCGCAAAGCTGGGGTCGGTCTTCCTTCCGTTTTCCGACTTTAAAGCAGTGGTACTATTGGTGTAACGAAGTGTCGGGTCCGGGATTCTTCAGCGGTCTTCGACTCCATTTGTCGCTCAGGTACGGCGGAAGGGCCATGCGAAATTTGTACTGTACTCCCTAATACGCACTTCTACATCGGATTGGAATTCATCGTGTTGTGTTTGATCTATCGAGATACATCTGTCAAGGATGATTTATGACGATGTTAGAGACATCTGGGAAATGTGGCAATAGAGGAATGCCTTCTTTGTTAGCCCGGTTATGCGAATATATGCACGCCAACCCTAATTTATTCCACATTCAATAATTATTGCCGGATTCATATTACGGCTCACACAACGGCTGTTTCATTGAGCACAAGAATGTGTGATATGATGAAAGACATAGAATGGAATGTCCGAATCTCGTCACCCCTTAACTCCTACAATACTCTGGTTAGCCATATACTGAAATCACAAGCTCAGGGCTTACAAACACTCCTTTACTCGATTCTAGAAAGTAACATTTAAAATTCAACTCTGTTGCCTAGCAATTTTAATAGTCAAGTCACCATTGCTAGCAGTTGAAATGGCAAGCTATCTTTGGTGCGCATTCTACGTTTAGAAGGATTTATGGCCTTTTAAGCACCAAACCACCGGTGTGATATTGGGTAGCTCCATTTAACTAGAATCTCCGTAGTCACCTAAGCCCACATAGGACGTTGAATCCACTCTGTAAAGTTCAGGGAGCACTCTCATATCAATGTTATCTAATAAATTACCATCTTGGAAAGGTGACACACTGGAATTTAAACTGCGTTATGCGGAGAAACCTAGGCTTCGGAAGTTATTGTTTCGTTGAAATCGACGTCGCGTTAACCAACCCAGACAAGAATGAAGTTATTTCGGCCACACCACATGAGTTAACTCTTGAAAGCAATTCATCTCAAAAGCTTCCATTTGAAGCGAGATGGGCACAAATGTCCCGCTGCCAGAAAAAAAGGCAACTGAGTAACCTCAGAGCTCCCCATCCGCTTTTGCCACCGACCATGCTACTAATTTTCACATACGACTGCGACATTTGCTACTCACATACTCAAATGTAAACCACCTGAAACGCAAGAAAATGCCGACAAAGCTTAGGAATGCACCTGAAGCAGTCACACCACTACACACTCTGCACAAACCACTCAACCTACACTATCCATGCGCCAAGGCAGCCCGACACCCCAAGCGCCAATCAGAATGGCTAGTATTAATGGGAGTTAATTGAAACCCATCGAACCACTAGTGGCGCGGTACAACAGTAAAAAAATTAAAGCATCCTACAATATGCTCAAGGGTCGACCTCGACACAAAGGTTCTTTAAGCTGCCACACACGTAAGAGTGATGAGCCAAAGACACAAGCGATCGCCACAACTCGACAACAAGGCATTTATTCAAAATAGACTCATGCGTCAAGTTTTGGCACGTCAAAGCGAAACATTTGTCCATCTCCCCATAAATGTGGTAGAATATCCAATTTTGGCCTTGGTCGACAAACAAAAGAGAAACCAACTCATCGTAAATGCTTTTATTTGCAATATAATGTGTGCGAAGACCTCGCTGTCAAGAAAAATCATGACAGCCCGATGACCTCAGAACTCAATCCTACGACCGCACTCCACCAACTGTACAGCTACTGCCCATACTGCTACTTCTCCCAACTACTTCGCTATCTGTAAATTGCATACACGTATGCGAGCCACCTAATTTACGAGAACACAACAGCGAAGCACCCGACACCAGCCCAAGAGCGCACCTGCCATAGAAAACAGCTGAGGCTTCTAGCATGGCTTGGAAGTTATGTTGCCGAGCGAAAATGCAATCTGCAAGGAAGTAAGCGCTGCCTAATTCAAGCATCGAAATATTCTTGTGTAGTAAAATAATGAGCTGTATACTCATTTATATTTATGGCCGCAAATGCATACCGTAGACGCATTCCAAGGTATCAATTAAGACAGTTAAGTCTACTGTCAACAAAATGACATTATCATGTTTTCAGATGCCAACTTTCCCGTTGGAACGCCCACAAACGAAATACGGGCATATGCGACGCCTTTTGTGCTATCCAGCTCTTGGTCGAGGCTGTATACCCGTAAAACACGTAGATGGAACGATTTAAATGCTCACTTGATATTGCGGTCGATGATATTTCTTTCGAATGGTAAATAGGCATTCCAGTACAATAGGCACTAGTGTGATCTCATTCCAAATTTGCCACTATTTATTCCTATCAATAAGGAAGTACTGCGTCGCAATAGATAGAACTGTAGTACCTCTAGGCCTTCTTGAAGACAAAGGAAGGCATTGTGTTCAGGCAGAATATATATACTCTAGGTACAGTAGGGCTTGGTGCTACTTGCATGGCCCAAAGGCCAGAACGTTCGGTAAAAATACAATGGTGAAACACCCAAGTGTCGCATTTACCGAAACCAGGAGTTATACAAGCAACCATAAAGCATCTAATCCGAAAATTTGCCTGCCTTTCTTGTATTTCAAAGCGAAATCTGGAAGATGATTGAAGTGTGTGCGTGAGCTTTGATATATTGTTATTTCACTCTATTCATAACTCTAAATTGACGCAAATGATCTCAGCAAGTGACTTTATCACTGTGCATACTTTCAATCTACAATTTTGCCAGGTGAAGATGCCAAACTGGAACCCCTATTAGCATTTTATTCTAAAAGATAGTGCCCAAACCGCTTGATTATCTTAAAGTGCATATAAAAAATTTTTTAGAATGAATTTCAAAATTATGCAAATGTGAATAACTCTCCGCTGTAGAGACCAATAATTTAGCATTAGTCAACCTACGGTTCATTGATAGACAGTATTGCAAATACTTTTAACTGTAGTGCTAGTCAAGATGCTGTGGCGCTGGATCCTGCTACATCATTTGAAAACACATACTGACCTCATTTAATCTGTTAAACTCAATAAATGCCTCCAGAAAAACCACCAAAGGCTTTCCATACCAATGTACTTTTGCAATGCCCGTCATCTGCCTCATGAAACTTTATTTGCCGCCCTGTTTCGTCAAAACTCAAACCAGCGCATTTTAAAAGCAGAAATAAGGTCTACTGCAATATTGTGAGTAGCAAGGGTAAAATTTGTAACTAAACTGCACTCAACTAATTCCGCTCAATGCGTGATCATACAGGACACTCACGAAATTGCATTCCAACCCAAATAAACAAGTGAATTACCATCATCGTCATCAATGACCAGCGGTACTTTCCACTTGCAGCCGGTTTGTTAATGCAGTTACGTTCGAAAACCACAGCACCACAAACGGAACTGCGGGTTTACTCTATGGTCAATTCCTGTATGAGAACTCCATTTCCGGCATCACTTTCTTTACTTAGAAATAACAGCTAAACAAAGCATGATCCTTTACTAGGTACTCAGGTTCCTACCTTTGCCCGATGCTCAAAGGGGTTGGGAATCAAGCATTCGTGTATTTTAGTCGCTGGGATATCACGTTGCCAAATCTAAAAGGGGGATTGCGAATGGCAACGTTTAAATTCTTAATGGGTAACGTAGTTATTTTTAAAAATTTCACCGATTTTTTAAAATTTATTCAGCCTCCGTTAAAATACTTTCTTTCGTCCTTGTTGTAGTATTTCATCACTCGACACCCATTCACTTAAGTCTAGTGGGTGTAATACTAGTTTTTCTGGCAAGAAACAAGAACTTCTCGTCATTTTTGTGGAGTATTTGAAGAAAGCGTGGCGGCTGAATGCAATTCTGACGATGAGTAACAGGAAGATGGATGCATCACGCTCAGGCACGACTCCGGTCTTTACGACGAGGTGGTGTCGCTAGTGGTCAAATAACTTGGACTAAATGTGTCAAGAGCAGACTTCACATTCACATTCGCATTCACAGACGACAGCAGGCTTTAAAGACCACCGAATTTCCACTACTGCTTTCACGTCATAAGGATCCGCCAATGATGCAACATGTGATGGGAAGTGACCTTTGTACTCTCTGTAATATATTCGCCCCACACTCCATGCTTCCAAGCCGCTACTTCATACTCCAAAGACTATGCTTGTATCAATTGTGTAGTGTTTGGGGATAGAAAATTACGGACAAGATGTCTATCTATTCGATACGGAAGCAGTTAGGACCAGTAAATCGGAAGAAAGTCCTATTCCTACAAGGCAACACAAGGATTGAAAATACTGCTTCATTCCCCGTACCATCATCGATGATATGTATAACCAAGTGGTCTCCACCTTTGCTTGGCATTACAACAAACAAAGTGGCCAGTTCGGACGAAAAACAGAGATAGAAGAGGAGGCGACAAGAACAGCGGATTTCTGTGGCCCCTGAAAAGCAAACCTTTTATCAAAGTCGAAATAGCAGCAAACTTTTGCCTCCTAGGGAAGGGATTGTGGGTTGCAATGGTGATGATTTCAAGGAATGATACGTGTCAAGAATCTTGTTGCAGACAATTGATTTTCACAGTTATTATTTCCGTGTAACGGTTATCCCAATTTCCGAAGTATCTCAACAGTCCATTGAATCGCCATTCTGATGAAGTGATTACAGGATTACCATGCAGCTCCCCGAGTAAACAGGTAGGAGTCGTGTACGAATATTTACCACCTTCATCGTGACAATCGGTTTAATGAATGGTAGACACAGGCACACACGCATACACATACGGTCCTACATAGAGAAAAATCAGACGAGGATTGCACTTGTCGTAGTAGGTAGAGGAAAGAGTTGAGTGTCCCAGGGAATGAAAAAGTGAGATAAAGTTGTGCAATAATAGGAAAGAGAGAAGTTATTTCCCATTTATGTACAGGTTTCCCGGACCCGCGGCAGCAGCGGTGCGGCCTGCCAAGACCACACGAGGTGCCGCTGCCTCGGCCGACCGACTCAGACTTCCCTGGGATGTTACGACAATACCACTCCGCGTCTGCTGGGGCAACGCAGAAGTCGTTTTACGTAATCCACCGCCACAAGCACCGGTGAACTGCAAACCGGTGGAGGCAACTCGCTGCGGTTGGACATAGGGGAATCGGTGAGAGGCAGGTGCAGTGGGTGGTGAGGTGGGGGAGCGCAGAGAAGCCCGTGCGCCGGAAAAGTGAGAGGTGGAGGGGGACGCACTGAAATAGCTACCACCAAAGGCGGACCGAGGGGTGCGAACAGGCGGGTGGTGTGTGTTGCCCTGCATGCCCGGATAAGGATAGTGCAACTGCATTTGCGGAGGTGGCGGAGGAGGTGACAGGGAAGCGATGTGCTTCTCGTCCTCCTCCACCTGCTCTTCCGCTTCGGTAGCCGTTGCAGCTGCAACTGTTACCCCAACCTGAGTCGTGTCCACCTCGAGAAGACCAATTTTGCGCGAGGTGGGCGCGACAGGACCATTGAACTCAGGAGTACGGCGAACTGGTGGTTCAGGCCGTGTTTTAACGGGCGGAGGGGACTTTACTTTCGCTGCCTCTGACGACGAGCCGTCGGAGGAGGCGGTGGAGGAAGGTGGGGAACAGCCGTTTACGCGATTGGATCTGAATGGTCGCAGAAATTGACAGTGGTCAGGTTTAGTGATCAACGGCTTTCCCATTAAATTATAAGCCAGTGCGTAAATTGATTTAGGTGAGAGGCAATTCTGACGTCCTTTGATGATTCATGCGAATTCTATGAAGTTATAGAATTAATGCTGCAGCAAAAAATAACAAGATCTTCATGTTGTTCACTTTGCGACCGTCTGGAAAAGGAAAGAGTTATGCAGTGCTTGGCAAAAACCCAGTTATTCTAGTGAAGTATAGAAGGATGGCTTTTCAACCATAGCTTGAGACATTTTACACGGGTCACAAAACTCTTTTAATCGCTAATCCGAAAGCTTTCGTAGAGCCCAGGGTAATAAATGATTACTCACTCCACAAGGATTGGTGGTCCCGATGGGTGCTTCGGGAAAGCTGTGCTAGCACCCCAAAGGTTACACCCATCGAATTGAAACAAACAAATTACAGCAATGCTTTGGCGCGGAATTCGAAATGACCGAAAATCTACTTGCCTCCGAATAGTAAACTGGGATAATGAATAAGTCTAGGGAAAATTAACCCCATAAGCGGAAATTGACTGACTCCACGTCCAAAATAAACATTATACAGATTTTCTTCTTGGCTCCAAAATACACGACTACCTGATCATCACGGGAAGCAATTTTGCCGCACACCCAGCTGGGGCTTTTTCCAACGTGAAATCTGAGATGAAGATCCGATTTTCAACGCCCACGCAGAAAGGAGGGCGCATCGGTATGTCGTAATTCGAAAAGTTCCTCTTAATTGTCATACCACTTCACAATCAAATCTCTTTAACAAATGCAAATAGCCACACTTTGGGAGGGAGAGGGACAATTTGATGAGTGCCTCTGGGAGCGCAGGTTGGTGAAAATAAAGTCAATCAAGGCAAAATCAGCAGAAAAAATGTCTTTTCCATGGAAGGCGCCATGTTTGTCAAAGAAAGAAAAATTAAGTGCGTGCTTGCCCTTAAAACTAGGTAGAATAAATTGCTGTACCATTTTTGGGAAGCTGGTCATTCAAAATTTAGGATTCCCATTGCACAAATGAAGATAAATTGTGCCATGCAACCTTCCAGCTTTTCCAACAAAAGTAGCATGACTAAAAAAATAGGATAATTCCAAATCAAGAAATTAGGATATGAGACGAAGTAGAGGCGTCATGGGATGAAGGAAGAGAATTGATCACTAAATTTTATCAAAACTCAACGAATCCTGGGATAAGCAGACAACGCAAAAGCCGCAAGCGCTCTCACACCGCGCACACTGCCGGCAGAGCCTTTTTCGCGGGTAAAGTGTTTTTTTGCCACCGGGTTAAACAAGTCTTCTCTTCACCAAACTATGCAAATTTGGTTAGCGAACAACCTTGGGATGGCTAACACGCATGCTACCGGTGTCCGGACCTTCTTAACTAGGCTAGCACGTCACAAAGATGACAACAAAAGGAACAATTAGTGTGACCGCACGTCAAGAGAATATCTGGGCTATGGAGGCTATTCTCCTTTGAGACCATGACAGCAGGCGTGACAAAGGCGCGACAGTAACGTTATTTCATGTGAGCAGTCAAGCTGCAAATAATTCAGACAATAACCTGAAAAGGCAAGCTTTCAGTCAAAATCGGTGTATGTGTGAGTCAGGGTGGAGAAAAGGTCAATCCGGCCGTTAGGGTCATAAGTGAGGACACAAAGTAGTTGGTAGAACGAACGTCAACCAACCACCAATGGAAGAGTTGACCAGACGACTATCTTGCCTCAATTATGGACTAGAAGTTTACTTTGAATGACAGTCAAGGTGACTACCATATCCGTGGATGAATCAAGAGCGTTCAAATTTATGGGCTTTTGATGACGCAGTGTTGATGTACACAAATCTACACCTTTATGGTCTGTAGGACGTGAAACAGCTACCTTTACCTTGGAGATGAAGAGGAGCATAAACGCCTACACAAATTGCCTGACTCAACACAATATAAAAAAGGAAAAAAAGAACTTTTAATCTCTGTGTGGGTCCAGTGTGAATTGGCTGCAGTAATAATCGCAAGGAATTATTTTCTCCCATTCATTTTGGGATGATATTTTCGCGTTACAACTCAGTTAAATAGGATAAAAGTTCCTGGCCAAACATGAAGAACCTAAATGTCAGCATTTCTAGACTCCAGACATGTCAGAAAGTAGAAGTAAAGAGCGGTTACTCAGCTTTAAGCGCTTCCGATTGCAATATTTGGCCAATAGTATACAGCAGTAAAACTCCGGTCTATCCTTCACAGCAAAGTTCCATTAAAGCGCCACCTTCGAACATTAAAAGGTGACACAGCATTTGAAGAGGCATCTAGTGCAGCCAAAGACACTTTGTTATCCTCCAAAGGGCCAAATTTGCGGTGCTATATCCATTTCAATGCCTTAAGTCAAAATACAGTAAAGCTGGATTTAAGAGAAAGAGATTATCTACTGCGACGGGAATTTAGATGATAGTAGAAATGCGCCCAGTCAAAACCTAAAGAATTGAGGTAACTAACAAGTGAGACGCTTGGTCGTCGAGATGTGATTGCGACACAAAACCAAGCATGCCTCCTTCCATGAAGTTAAGTGGTTGCGGAGTACCCCCCATAACAACGAGCATTTCAGGGTGCTATTGATGCCGAGATGTCCATAGTGAGTCAAGCAAGGCGATTGGCTTGAGTACTCTAGCTCAGGGCAAAATACTGCTATCATAGGATGATCAGGATAAGTCGGCGGTTTCATTGTGATTAGGAAACAAGTGTCTCCACTAGTGCGTGTGACATTGTGGAATATTTGGGGGCTGTCACTGTTTTAGCAGCATTCGGTTTGCATTGGCTTCCAGCAATCGCCAATGAGTTACACGGTGACCCCAAATAGGAGTCGTGAAGGAAGAATTTCGGCTTATAAAGTGCGAATACGCCATAAGAGGTAAGGACAACCCCAGCACTGAAATCTGATAATGCTTGAAGACTTTGGTGTTTGAGATTTGGTAGACAACGCAAAGCCAAGGAAGTCAGTCAGCAGAGCCAAGTGTTCTGTCCATACAAAACACAAAGGTGCCGTACAGACAACTGTGAGATCCTCACAAAAGATAACGCACCGTTCTGGGTGAAAACGACAATGGCAAAGTTGACATTTCACAGACATCCAATGCTAACCCTGTGTTGCAGAAATAAGGGTCTATTTTCCATCCAAAAAGTCCGGATTAGTGTAGCGTTGAGAATTCGTTACATGCTTGAGTAAGCATGCCACAAATCCAGTCATTATCACAGGATGGACTTAGGGAAAACCAGTAATATTTTTTTGGCCAGTTTAAAGCAGTTACTGGTTCACAACGGCACAACATCCGACGAATTAACTAGGAGTGAGAGAAGGAAATAGTATGCAGTAAAATATAAGACTCTGTTTAAAAAAAAAACAGGAAAAAGACAACGATACGATCAGATTTCACCTGACACATTTAGAGCACAATGATATTCGCAAATTATGAGAGGGTCTAGAGCAAGTCCAGGATCGCAGGACTCAGAAATGGACGTACAAACTTAATTACCTAGCTTCTCATTGAAAATACAACCGATAAGCATGCACATGAATGATAAAGATTCATTAATGTCTGCTATTATAGTGCCGCAAATATGAGCGTTTCTCCTCCTCGGATATGAATAGAGTAACGAAGGGGATGAGGAGCTTACGCGGGAACACTGGAGGAGGCAGTGGAGTCGAGCTTAGAGGAGGTAGAGGCGGAGGTGGAGGGACAAAATGGAACTAGAGGAGATGCCGGTGGAGGTGGAGCGTTGGCCGATTCGCGGCAAGCAGACGGAGGGGAAAGTGACTTCTTACCCTGAAAACCCTCCTCACCCCCACTGACGGGACTTCGAGGCGTCGCGTTACCCGTCGTCTTCACCGTAGGCGAGGCATTCTGTACAATGGTGAGAAGACAACAAGTATACAAAATGGACACCCAGCTGAAGTTACGATCATAAGGAAAGAATAATTTACAAGCCCGATTAATCGGATTACAGTTTCTCTTCCTGCCCATCTTGACAAGAGGTCGGAAACAAAAAGCATTATCTTTGTGATCAGACAAATGCCACTGACATCACTGAGCACCAAGGATGGTACATAAAAAAGTAGGATTTAATGAACGCAATCCAAATTGAAACACTAATACGATGTAGGAACTTTTCGTGTGATATTTTTCATTGTACTTTCGTATATGCGAAAGTTTTACTCAACAGCATCGTTTGTCGTAAATCGGAATATGCTACAACACCTGCTTCATGCGAACTTCAATACCTGAGTCAAGACAAATACATACCCGAGTAGGGCTGAAGATTTACTTGTTGAAATAATTTATTACAAAATACGATTTACATTGCCGAATAATAGCATTTTACAAAACCTTTGAAAGTGCCGAGTTTCGCAACTCCACGCTGGTAGGGTAGCATAGAGCCATAATTCCAATCTTTCAGGCCTTCTTCAGTGTCTTTATAGTAAAACTGCCTTCGAATTAGTACATCTTACATTATTTGCGAGCGTCACTTGAATGTCACAGCGCTTAAACGCTGATACAGGCGTGACCATGCAATACTACTTCAACAGATGAGACTTTCATAGATCTTGGTATAACCCTGTTCAATAGATATTTAAAGGCTCATTCAAGCAATGCATCCATTTGAAACTAGCCACTTGCCAAGAGTACAATGCTAGCTTAGTAAACAGATTTTTGCACCGGCAGTGATAAATACCAGTGACAGGAGCATATTTGCAAGAACAATGAAGAATTCAGTGGCGATAAAACAAGGAGCACTATGGCCGAGGGAGGAGAATCAGACAAGCCCATTTGCTGTCCGTGTTTTTTGTGTTACTGAATGCCTCTTGCTTGCTACGATAGGCGCTCGTAAAACGATAACTTGTAACATTTCCTCCTTAGCATTGACGGGTAGATCTGCTGAAGACCCAGTACTCTTACTACAAGTCAAGGGATGCTTCTGCACATGATAGTGGAAGTGCAAATTTGTTCTTTCTTTCAGACAGAGATGTGGTGAATACACTTGAAGACATGCATAGTTGGTTAACTCAAAAGTGCCTTTCAATGATCCCATCATTATTTTTGCCATTATACAGTGTGAACAGTCGGTAAATTCTTCATTAAAATTACTCTTTTAGACTCATCAATACTGACACCTACCAATGCTACACATTAAATAATAAGAGAACATCAAGACGATGGGTAAATTTCCAAACATCTTACTGGAGGATGCACTGAATTCGGGTGAAGTAAAATCAGCTACTTCTATTTTTAAAGAAAACGCATTACACCAAAAATGTCGAAATAGGACGTAGATAACTGGGGTACTTACAGCAGGCACTAACTAGCAGGTGCAGAAAAAGGGCAAAATTGGTTTGAAGAGAGGAATCTCTAAATAGACTGCAATGTAGTTAAAAGGCGTCACCACCCATTTGGAGGAAATGAACAGTTCGAAATACACTGGACCAAAACATCTGCGCGAACAAGACTGAAGAAACCTTTAAGACGAAATGGATACACTGGGGAGCGTTTAGATCTGCAGTTATTTGGGAAAAAAGTGGATAATTGGAGAATGGGTGTATTCAACCGCATCCACCTCCCCTGGGAGGCGGATCAACCCATCCAAATAAGTGGAAAGAAAATGAAGGCACATTAAGCATGGTTTGTTGCTCAAAAAGTGCCGGTCTGGGATGGAATAGCCACACAACAGGTTAACCTAATTCACTAAAAAAAAATCTACCTGAGCCCTATTTAACACGTATACTTCACTATGGCGTAAGAAATACAGAAAAAAATGATGCATTTCAAAGACCGCATTCAAAGATTCCCTCCCAATAACTAACAAAACCCCTTTGCTTAACCCCGGTATTCAGAAGTGGCACACTATCTAATTCGACATTAAGGTAAACAAGCATTTTAGATTTCGTGTAGTACTAGGAGCCTATCGAAGGTCACCAGTGCCAAGTGAATGGTGGGTGGACAAGGCGATAATCGTTCGTACCCGATTAAATATACGACAGCTCGGACTGGCTACTTGACTTAACGGGGGTTATTCAAACAGCAAGAACCACAGTTTCGCATGATTCTCATAATTCCACTTAAGACGCGGGAAGGATGCAAATTACCAAGTGATCTCACAAATTGCAACAACACATCCTCGTGAGGCAAAATTGCCTACACGCAAACGCTCCACTAGGGACGACGAATCAATGCTTAAAAAGTGAGAAATTAGTCACCCAATGCAGTGGCAAGGAAGCAAGGAAGGAGAGAGGGAAGATTTTCGGCTCGTGTATGGTAGACCATGTAATTTGACTTGTTTTTTGCGGCTAGGCCATACGAAAAAATTCCTCCCCATCATTTCTTTTTGCTTTTGGAAGATGAAAATCAACAGAAGCACTCACACGGGTGAAAAAAGATGGCGCAACTAAGTTCCGTGTGGATCATAGTGTAAAGTTTATCGCTCGCGACAACTGTTGTTTAAAACCCAAACCAATTGACGGGATGGGGTGTTTTTCCCCTTCTCTACCTGTCACAGTGAGAAATACTTCCTCTGCCAAATGACGAATTGTGCGACTGTGGTGGGACGTAGGTACTGCAACTAGTGGGGAGAACCAAAACTCACTTTCGTTAAAAACACCGCTGTAAGCTTCTGTTGGGGGAACTATAACAGGTGATACAATTTCACCGGTGTGAAAGACACATTGGCTTACTTAGAAATGGATTAAAACACCTTGCCACGACTGTCAACCAAACTTTGATGGGTTTAAACGATAGTCCAGGTATTCTAGAGTGAGATCTCTTATGACTGCTAAAGGCGACCACCAATGTCGAGACAGATGTGTGCATTTGTAGGAGAAAAAGACGTGCCCCCACCTCTACTTGTGCATAGTTTCTGAAACATGTGTTCTCGAAAGGCGAGAGGAAAATTAGCTGCATATGGACGAGGGCGAGGAGAGAACTCCAGATAATCTGCCAAGATTACCTCGGTGGATGGGTAGATCAAAGGAATCCCTCGTGTACGCTTCTCCCCCGAACAGACCTGCAGAATTAGTTTTACTGGTCTGCCAGTCGTTGAAGCGAAAGATCCATTAACAAAATGAAGGGACACACAATAAAATAGAATAGAATTGCAGGTTAACAGTATAGGATGGAAGGCACCTGCAGCTATGGGATCGGTGTGTCAAAAAGTGAGGAAAAAGAAGGTGCAGAAGGGTAACGAGAAAGCTCGGGTTCCATGCATATTGTCGGTAGCATCATGGTGTTAGGATTGTTTACGCTTGTGCCGCGCGGTAGTTGTTGAACAGGAGGAAAGATTGAGTCCTATGATACATCAGAGTAACTTCCTTAATTTAAACAGCAAATTTTAAAGCAGGAGCTTTTTGCGCGAATACTTTAGTGGGAATTAGTAAAAGTCCCAGAACAAAGTCAAACTTCTCAAAAATTGAGGTCCATAATTATAAGCATCAAGTAAACGAATAGAAAGTTGACATGGCACATTCACCCCCAAAACAATCTATAAACATCCAACCATCTGTTCGTCCATCCTCCTATGCACTGGGGTCGGAAAAACAAAACGACCCATCCATTCACTTATCTACTTGTCCCTATTTTCGAACTCTCTCATCACTTCGAGGCAAAGCCTAACACCTTGGGCGAATCTTTCATCTGCTGCAAATTGATATCCGCACCGCCCGTAAATATCCATCACACCTGAGAATGTTCTAAACCAGCCACTTTTCAAAACGAAAGCACAAAACACACTTCCTCAAGTTTGATGCGACTTGCGATAATGCGAGAGTATGCATACTCGGGAAATAAATAAATTTTGATGGAAATTCGGGTGATAAAACAGGCCGATTCGTGGGAAAGAATTTTTGAAGGAATAGCAAGATAGCATTTCAAGTCGTTATACACGGAAGCCTCATGAGGTTATTAGTAAAGTCCACCTCTCAATGTTTATCCCTCGACAAAACGGAATAGTACGGTCCATGGCCAAAACACAGTAGCACGAATTCACACACACCCACCCACATAACACAGGAACAATGCGGTAGTTCATGCAAATGGAAAGTTGTGCCGCTTATTGATGGATAGCTGAAAATAAAGGCGTAATTTAAGAGGCATTTTATTAATCTTGTATTGTTTTACTTAATCAGCTAAAGTGGATGGCATTCAACAATGTATCAGTACCATCGATGTGACTATCGATGAAAAATGGGTTTAGCAAACAACGACGGTATTGCCAGGATCAGCCGAGTCAAACTGAGACTTAGGGGTTTACCAAACAGAAAAGTGCATGACTTTTGGCTTAGTTCCTTGCTACTACAATTTTTACACGTACTCCGGTATTTCACGTACTGGGTATTTTACAATCTCGGTGCGGAAAGACCTGTTGGGGCAGCCTAATGAAAGTTGCTTTGGTACCCAGCGTGTGCTAACTTTGGGAAATCGCAAATGCCCACACATGCATAGTCCAACAACCAAAAATTAGTCGCTTGTACGACTTCATGTCAGGTTATGCACAATAAAGTTATCTCGAATCAGACGTTCCACTTTACTAATATGCATAATAATGACCTTTAGCGTTGAACTAGGAACTGCCAGATCAAGGACAGTTAGTGGCAGGCGATTTGGAAACCATCTCTGAAATGCATATTCCACTGAATCAAATACCTCACTGCAGAGCGGCTGAGCGCATCAGCACCGTGCAGTGCTGTGCTTGAAGTCTCCCGTATGGGTAGGTGTCTAAAATTTCGGTTTCCACAGCTTCGTTCATAAGAAATATGGTGTTCTATGCCTGTACCCACTACCGCCGCCTCCTATCTGAACTAGTTAATTCACGAAAAAATACGTCAGCTTTTAGTACAAGGACATACTGCTACTGTATACAGGAGTCTTTTCTAGGAAATGCAACGGGCACGAGTCCCGGTCTGACTTGAGCGAAACCCTGCACTTGATAATTAGTGGAATGCGCATTACATGGATTTTAGAAAGGCAAAATAGAGAAATAACTCCAAACTTTTGTGTTGAACATAAAATTACTTCCGTTAGTGCTATGACTGCCCTCTATTCACCATAAACATATTAGAGGCCTGGAAGTGTAAATATCGTATCTCTGTATTAAATACGGTCAATTAGATAGTTTAAGCTCATTTATTGCTGGATACCGTCTTTAAGAAGTAATGCCATTCGTATAAGGCATTTCATAACAGATGGTAAAGTTGTTTCAGATGCGTAAAATAGGGAGATTTGACTACGTGGGAGGCGAGGAGAGGGAGAGGAGAAAAAGCGTAGACAAACATATGGGCCGCAATAAAGGAATTTATAGCGAGGCAAAAAATAACAACCATGCTATGGTTCATATTCGTATGCAGTTATTGCAAGACTTTGAAACAGGCCAGTCAGTTACTTACAAGCGCTGTGAAAGGCAAATAGCATTTACGAGAGGAATAATGAGTGTCAACTGTCCCACAAGCAAGGTTATACCCTATTTTTTTGAAGGGGAAAGACGAGAGGGGTTCGATGAAGAGCCCCCGGCAATTCATCAAACGCAACTGCTGGACCAAACGCAGTCCAAATTCATCTTGTCCATGACCAAATCGCCAATCTTATTTGCTTAACTTTCAGTTATTAAAATATACTTTGTTGCGATTCAAAGTAGGGAACACGCGCAGAAGAGGGAGCTTAACCTAGTTTACTTTACGAAGTTAAAACTACAAAAATCGTCAATTCTTCATGAAATTAAACGACCGAATTATAGTAGAAAAGAACGATGCTTAAGTGGCTAGATGTTTATGTGACTAGTTACCATATTAAAACAGGGTGCCAATTGCCTCTAAAAAAACGAAACCTGGAGCCTTTCGCTCATTCACAAGGCATTTGCAAATAACTAGACTTCAGTGTACGCAGTGAGATTAGACTAAGAAATGCATAAGTTACGGCAATCCTTTGCAAGCCGCGAAAACACGCCAAAATGTTAATTCGTTCCCCTTATGGTCGTTGCTGGCAAAAAAATGAGCCTCCGGAAAACGTGATGTAGCACACATAAACAAACATACACGCCTCACCCAGAGTGCCACACTGGGCTTTTGGCCAAAACTCAGAAAATACTATAAATGGACTTCCGTTTCGTGGATTGCCACCATCTAATTAACGGGAGGGAAGACAACGAAGGCCTAATGCACGGACACTGAGGAAAGAGAGCCTACTAATTGTGTTATATCATTAGAAGATGAATTGGTGGCACACACAGACACGTAATGGGAAAGCCGGCATGCTGCCAATGAAGTAGCAATAGCGGCAGTGGGGAGAGCGGTAACAAGAGAATACATCCGAAATGTACATGTGCCGTGTTGTACAGTCTGAAAGCACGCTTGCGTGTGCGTAGACGTCTTCCTGGCCGCATGACTCATGACCGAGACGGCGGACAGGCACGAGGTGAAGGGAACGCGATGAAATGGAAATCTGGGTTTCGGCATGCACACATGCATACGAACACGCATACACGCACAGACTAATTTGCATGGCATTGTGCCCTGTCGCAACAAGCCAACAGCCTTGGTGGACCCAAGATAAAGGCGGGAGGAGCTTTGTGGAAAGGTAGCAAATTGATAGAGGAAGCCAACACAGCATATTCGCGGCAAAAAACGGCCAAAAACACACTAACCTATTGCCTAATGGGTCCGATGAAGTTATTTGCCAAAATGTTTTGCATTCTGTGTTATTTGCATGTGCTAGAAACTCATATTCCGACCATTTTTCCTTAAGCACACATTTAGTTAAGCTAAATAGCGGTTATTCTTTAAATTGGATGATCAAACGCTTGGTGATGTGCTATTAATACGTCCATGGTCAACCAGCACGCAGCAAACCTGTACTTTTGCATTGCCCGCTTCAGTGGTGCTTAAAACCTTCTTATGGGGTTTGAGCGATACGGGAACTGATGTATATATATAACTGCCAAGCTGAATAAGTAAGAGGACTAGCAAGGTCGTTGAGAAATTTATTGGAAGTCTTTATGACTATAAAACAAGTATCAGATATAGAAATGCAGAAAATTGGATAAATCGAAAGAGGGTCAGCGGATGACTTTGCACGATTATAATACAAAAAATCCAATCTAATTTGTTCAAACAAAAAGGTTAACATTTTTTTGCTCAAGTAGTATTTTTTTAGCAGCGCAAATACTTACCAACATTTTCACCGAGGAAGGGGGATCAAAGGGAAGCGGAGATTTAAGTGCCAATTTAGATTCCAGTTGTTCGACTTGTTCACATTTCGCCAAGAGCTCTTTTTGAAGACGCCGCTTTTCCCTTATCAATTGAGCTGCTACCATCCGCTGGCGTTGGGAAAGTACTTTTTGGTTGTTGTAACTATCCAATGCTTTCTTCAAATCCTTTTCCAAGCGCTTGGTTTGATTTCGCTCATTTTCCAACTACAATACAGTGTAAGAAGGGTTAAAGCAACGCTAGGTAAAAGAGAGTGAAATAATATAGAAAGTTTAAAACACCTCTATCTGCAGTTTTTCGCGTTCCTTTTCCAGCATAGCTACAACATCATCGCCCTGTGCTGCATCCCGCTCCAGCCTCTTGCGCTCCTCCTCAAAAGAACTGCAGAGCGCAGCGTATCTTTGTTCCGCTGACTGAAGCTGCTCTCGGTAGAAGGCGTGCGCACGCCTCTGGACATCCAAAAGCTCTTCCAAACTAGCCACTTTGAATTCACAGCATTGCGCTGCATTGACACTGGAATTGCAACCATCTGAAGGGTCAGTCGAGGATTGTAGAAGAAAGAAATCACGCTGAAGTGCAAGTATTGGATCATCCAAATTAATTTCAAAGGCCTTGTCCATGAAATATCGATGTCGTCTGGCGCCGTCGACAAGAAAATAGTTCTGCTCACACTTAATGAGAAATGAGTGACCCAAAAGTCAACTACTACCTGCAAGGTGGCGATCAAAATATCTCTAGCTTCGACGTCCGCTTGTAAGCCAGCGACCATATGTACAAGTTCCTCGTGGCTTAACTACATTTTCGAAGAGTAAGATAAAAAATAAGCACACTTTAGACGGCGAGATTCCACGGTCATTGTGTTTTTTTTCCTCCACCATATTCTATGGAGTGTTAAAAAGGGTAAGTTATGAATGCAAAATTATGTCACGAATAACAAGCCGACCAGCGCCGGAGTAAGCAACACAGGGCATAATTCGCAGAATTGCGAGAATCCATCATCAATTCAAATAGACCAATAAAACAACATGGCCTTCGAGAAGTACAACGCGTAAAAAAACGAATAAAAGTACATGAAAAGTGTAAAACAATGTCCAGATTATATATACGATAAACTTGCGGATAAATGCAGTGAATTAGCGAAATGTTCAAAGTAAAAAAAGGTGACTTACATTTGGTAAAAGTTTGAGCAATTTTTGGTCTAAAAATGTTTTTGGACGAAACATTAAAAGGAATAACACCATCATGTGGTTGCCAATATTTTAAGTTTTGAGAAAATGCGTCTGCATTTTTTGCAATCAGTGGGCATATAAGGTCTGCAAGCCCAACCCCGAGATTATGGTCAAATTCCTACTCTCAATTTTTTTAGCACATCAATAACTTGCTTACCTCTTAGTTTTGGCGGCTGGAGCATTTGAGGCTCTCTGACGCCTAAGAGTAATGGCCTTTGTTTAAACACCATGTCCTTTTTAATTTAAAAAAGTATTGAAGCGCCATAGGATGACGTTTGTTTTGTCGCCGGATTTATATTTACCAAAAAACTTCCCTCCTAAAAGTGCATAGTTTGCTAACTATTGCTGAACTAGCGATAGCTTTTAAGTTTCGTCTGATGCTTTTGAAATTTAAATTTATGTGCGCTAATCATAAATTTATATTGTTATGTGTCACGCCAAGAATAGTAGTATAAATATTGAGAGCAGTTTAAGGTCACTTCATTGCCTTGAAGTTTCTGTTGTTTTCACCGTCGGAATTGGGCATGCTTACTAGTGCGTCTTATACCGCGGAACGTATTCGGTGTGTCCTTGCCTTTTTCACTAGAATAAATTCCATCAAAAAGTTCACCTTTTGTTCTGCTTCAAATAATGCGTCGTTGAGAACTCATACGTGTGGGGAATTAAGGGAATCCGATGTCGGGAAAGCGGTCACTCTTTGCGGTTGGTTGTACAATACGCGTATGTCTTCGTCATTTCTATTAATCAGAGATGCCTATGGAATCACACAGGTGGTTCTTGAGCCTATGGTTTGTTTTGTTTGGCGGTATTAACTGATACTTTAGTTCCGACTTGGATTACCACCTAGTGATTCTGTTATCAGGGTACATGGGGTCGTTCAGTCCAGACCACCAAAAGACATAAATAAGGTAGCATTTTGCATTTTTAGTTACATATTCAGTCCATGCAAACAGGAGAGATTGAGATCAGGGCGACTAAAGTTGAGACACTGAATAGTGCCTCCGAGTGCATTCCTTTTAAAATGAAGGAAAGAACAGGAGTATGTTATGTATGACTTTTCTATGCCCTTTAGGTTGATGAGCAGCTAGGTTTAAAATATCGTTACCTTCAACTGAGGCAGCCTGAGTTTCAAAAACGCCTCCGATTTCGATCAGAATTCCTACGCAAGATTCGCGACTACCTCTGCGAGGATAGAGGTGTGCTCCAAACCGTTCCTTACACATTTAGGTTTTATTGATGTTGAAACCCCTTACTTATTTAAACGCACACCCGGGGCATGTGGTTTATTTGCATTTTAATGTCGCCTCTATCTAGGGTGCCCAAGAATTCATCGTTCCATCACAGTTCCGAGGGCAGTTTTATGCCCTTCCACAGAGCCCACAGCAATTCAAACAACTTTTGATGGTTGCTGGGCTTGATCGCTACATGCAAATTGCGCGTTGTTTTCGCGATGAGCTTGCACGACCGGATAGACAACCAGAATTTACACAAGTAGGAACGACGAATTTACGCTCTCACCTCTTAGCTTGACATTGAAGCATCTTTCATCAGTAGGGAGGATATTTATGATATTGTAGAATCTACCTTGGCTTATGCCTGGCCTGAAGTCTGTAAGTACAATGAGATAACCGAAGATCTGAGAACTCCTTTTTCGCGTATGTCGTATGATGAAGCTATGAAAAGGTATGGAAGCGATAAACCCGATGTACGTTTCGACATGGAGTTAGAAAGTTCTGGCTGCGGTGAAAGTGAGCAATTCGCATTTTTTGTTATCCCAGCTGGCTACGTAAGCTAAAAACTGTTTCGCTCTACACAAATCTGGGATGTGAGAAGTGAGCTGACGTTTTGCTATTACAGGCTAAGGTGCTGTCAAAGCCTTTCTTCTCGAAGATGCTGTCCCTGGTAGTCGAGAAAGATGCCTTAGTGCGTACCATATCTATACTTGCTAAAATGATGCTTCATTTCCCAAATACTAACGCCTATCTATTTAAATCAGTTTTCATGGATTGATACGGTCTATTTCGGTTAACTACTAGTTCAGAACTCATCATTTTCAATATTTTTTAGAAATTTGATTCCGTTTAATTCGCAATTGCTTGAGGACTCATCTACTGATATTCTGCAAAACTCTTGTCTTTTATTAATGCCTAGAGCCTTTCAGTCCTTCCATATGATAAAGTAAAGTCCATTGACGAGGTTAAGGCTGCAGGTCTTTCTCACCTCAAACCCGGCGAAGTTGCCATTCTGGCCAATGGCACCGATCATCCCTGGGTAAGTCGCACAGGAATGCTATTTTTACTTGCTAATAAAAGCTAATTCTCAATTTCTCCTCTGTGTTTTGACAGCGAAAGGCTCTGGGAACGGCACGAGTTCTAACTGCCAAGGAATTGGACTCTAAGGGTACGCCTCTTCCTTTTGACGCATCATGAGCATCCAGGTGTTCAAATCTACAAGCCCGGATTCTTCTTTCACTGGGTGGAGAACTTTCCACTGTTCTCGAAGAACGAGATCGGTAGGCATTCACCGTGAAATCATTCGACCACAAGCACCTCATCAACATTTAAAGTCGCTACATTTATCCTCTTCCGCAGCCAATCACTTCTTAAGATTTCATTATTAAGGTTATAGCTGCATAACTACCAACGCTTCATTCTAAATCACTCATCTTTGCGATTGAATTTGACGCAAAAAGACTGATTTTATGGCTTACTAACTTAAATGAAGTAAGATCTGCAAATTATTCCAGTAAGTTGTCCACAATTTCAGGCGATTTCGTATCTAAACATCATCCATTCACGGCTCCTGTTGAATCGGAGGTGGATTTGCTTTACACGGAACCGGCGATGGTGAGCACTAGCATCGGAACCGGTGCCAAATGAGTAGTATTCCCATCTGCAGCTATATTGTGCCCTTCTAACCCCTACTCGCTGACCCAATCCGTAGGTGCGTGGGCAGCATTACGATCTCGTGTGCAATGGCCAGGAGGTGGGTGGTGGATCCCTTCGGATCCACCGGTCCGATATGCAACGCTACGTACTGGAGCACATTCTCCACGAAGATGTAACCCCACTCAGGCACCTTCTCGAGGCCCTCTCCTTTGGAGCGCCACCGCATGGCGGGATCGCTCTAGGCAAGTTTTCCCCTTCCTACCTGTTCGTCAAACTTGCGGTTGCGCCCTCGGCCTCAGTGAAACGGTGAAATCCGGAGACATTCGCGACAAGCTCATGATGCCCACAAATTAAAACATCGCCCTTAGTGTAGCATACCGCAAAATGACAGCAGTGGGCCCCAGCAAGGTGCAAGCGCACCGCCAACCCGTATGAAAGTTGTACTACTCCACACCCCCTAGCCATATGGTGGACGCCATGAAAGAACTGACTCCGTTCCCATTGCAGGCCTGGACCGCCTAATAGCCATCTTTACAAATGCGCAGACCGTTCGGGATGTCATCGCCTTCCCGAAGACGGCCGGAGGCCGAGATCTACTTTCCAACTCGCCGGATACCGTACCAAACACCGAACTAGACCGGTACTTCATAAGGGTTCTCTGGGACAAAGAATGACCCCGACTCAATAACAGAGGCCCCACGATTCAACCCACGTATGCCGCACCCGATTTTTGGACCCGTGAAAACACAAGAAAGACCACCATTGGGTTGTTGCAATTTAATATGATAAACAAAGGTTAAAATGACAAAAACGTCTTAAAATTGAGTGGATATGATCACTACTAAACCTCACTACAGCCTAACTTCAGACCACCAGCCAATTACCGAGTTAGCAGCCGTTTATTTTACGTCAAGGACAATCGATAAACAACCAAACATGCAGTCACATAGTTGATAAAAGTGTGGGCTAAAAACTTAGGCGGCAAACACAGACCTTAAGGTAGAGCGGACGATACCAGTTTAAAGTAAGACAAGTGACAGGACGGGTTGAATAAACGGAAGGTGAGTCCTGAAGCTGTACAAAGGATCTGTGTAGGTGGCTATGTATTCACGACGATTCAGGCTCATACTGCTGCAAAATGCCTGTGCTACACTTAAGCCTGCAACATCAAAGCCCTACAAAATTGAAAAGAGAATTAACCACGCCTCACCCTCCGCTACGCTTAGCTGCCGCTAGTCTAATGGACCTACCCCTCACTAACGACGACTGTAGTTACCTCCATAAGGTTGGTTACGCTGGTAACCGCCACCTGGTGGGCTCCTCATCGGTCCACCACCGTAACTCTGGCCGCCATAGTGGCCAAATCCATCTCCCATACCATTATTCCAACACCCACTCGGTGGATAGGGATCCCAATTATCGTGATAACCACCTAAGGAAAGTCACTCAAAAATACTGATCTTACCCATCGGGCCTGGAGGAGGACCAGCGTAACCGTGATGCAGATATCCACTATAACCGCCAGGGGGACCGTAGCCCCCATTGCGATATCCACCGCCGTAGCCGTAATCCTGCCTATAGTCTGTCTTTCTCCTTATGGTGTTCATCTCTTCCCGGCTGAGAGCTTTTTTAACGTCAGATTGACTGGACTTAATAGTATGTGGCTTATAGAGAATAGCCTTGTCGACAGGATCATAGTCGTCAAAGGTAACGAAGCCGAAACCCCGAGAGATATTCGTATCCTTTGATGTGACAACTTCACAGTCAATGATCTTCCCGTACTTAGAAAAGTACTCACGCAAATCCTCTGTTGTAACATCCCTCTTTAGTCCACCAACGTAGAGCTTCTTGACTGTCATATGCGCCTCGGCACAGGAGGAGTCTTCCCTGGGCATTGCCCTTTTAGCTTCGACTATCTTACCATCGATTTCGTGTGGACGATTGGCCTGAGCAGTATCAACCATTTCAGGCTCCTTATAAGTTACAAAACCGAAACCACGGGACCGACCGGATTGGGAGTCCTTCATGACAACTACATCGACGATTTCACCCCACGCAGAATAATATTCCTTTAGGTGATCTTCTGTCGTATTGTGCGTAAGACCGCCAATAAAAAGCTTCCTATACTGTTCTGTCCGGCTGTCATTGTTCTCTGAGTACCGATTATACATCCCACAGCTAACGCCAAAAAGGCAAAGGTAGAGTAACGGAAGCTATATTGTTAATCTACCCATTTAAACAAGCTGAAAATTATACCACTTTTGAACCTCAAAAATAAGTTAATGGGAAAACGTATCTTTTAAAACAACTTTTTTAAATTAGGACAGGTTTTGTTCAATTTAAAACGACTGAACTAGTGCGAACATCCATTGCGAAGGACCAACAAACCAAATCTGTTAAAAATGCCCAAGTTCCGCCAAACTAAGGATTCGCCTAGTTTGTTAGATATATGCTGCAGAACTAAAGCTATACTTCTGTAATTTCGAAGAACTTACGCATGAATAAGCGACTCAATCACATTCTAGAAGAACTATGCTGTTAATCGAACCAAAAAGGGCTATACGCAGGGTCGCAACGCCACTCAGCCCACCATATTCCCACCCCCTAGTGTAAATACCTAATATGGTGATTTCGCAAAAAAGGGCACTCCCGCCGCGCCCGTACAAACAGCTCCGCAAACACCAGCCATAGTAATGGCGTAACCAATCCTTTGGAGATCACTTATTACAAGGGTTTGTACACAAATCCCACCAAGATTGCTGACCCATTTTGTCCCAATAAATTCACCTAAATCTTCTAAGACGAAAAAATCCGGATGCTAACGCAGAAGTCATGGGACTCCGACTGACGGCCATTATTGCACGACTAAGGCGTTCATTCGCTAACTTTGCCCAACAACCCTGGATTTCGTAATGCAGAAGACCGCATGTGAAAAATGGCTCCTTTGACTTTGAATACGGCAAGACAAGAGATTAATTGAACAATATGTTCCCACAGAATTATCGCAGTGCAATTGTTGGGGAAGGTACACTTTCCCCGAGAAACGTAAGAGATCTCTAGCAAAAAGGCAATGCTAAGGGTGGAAACTAACAAAATTTGAATGAGGTGCCTTATGTACAGTAAAAAATAATATAAGAGGTAGGAGACAACATGAATTAGAGAGCAACTGCTATGCTGAAGATGGGTTGGTTGAACAGCTCTCGGAGACATTCAACGGTTCGTAGAACCTGACTGACGGTTTATTAGCCCTGAGAATAAAGCGGAGCATACAATTAGCATATTGAATTCCAAACCAATGACGGTTTTTTCTTCATAAAAAGCACAAGCGGATAAATTGTTTCAAGCTTCTTGAGGGGTAGAGCAAAAGAACGACAGGAAATCATAGCGAAGCAACCAACAAACCGGGTGTAACACCACCTCAGAAATGGAACCTCAACGATTAGACTTAGACGTGAGACAGACATTTGGAGGAACCGAACACTTTTAATGCACCTCTTCATCAAGAGATCCCTTCAAGAATGACACTTCTCCAGAATCATCCTCATCACCACCTTCGACAGGACGTCCGTCAAAGCAGTTGGAGGAATGGAAGCAGCCATGTTTGCATCGGTTCATTTTACGCGGTACATAGGTTGTGGTGCCCTCGAAGAGGCCATCACGAAAATGCAGAGAGGAGGAAGGGGAGGTAACTGAGGGCAAGTCAGCCTCAATGACGGAAGGAGTGGATTCATTTCTAACCGCCACTTGCGACCCATGGATCATTGCATCGCTGGACGACAGGAAGAGGGAGTAGCGTTTTGAAAAATCGGAAGCCATCTGGAGTACCACTGCCTGTGTGCCTTCATATATCGATAACTCCGGGTCAAAGCGCAATTAACCTAGACTAAATCACATCAAACACAAGCTTTCATAACCTCTTTCATGACTGCAATCAAATAACACTTGTTTTGACTACGCCAAGCATTAAGCAAACACCTTCAGTCTCGCAATTTGACCACCACAATGGCGAAATGGAGTTCTATGTCGGTGGAAACCTACCTTGTAGTCAGCCACTTCACAACGGAATTTACGATGATATTCAAGGGGGAATAAGTGATCCAGTCATTGACAGGGCATAAAGGTGGGACTTCTTGAAGCAAACTTGGCTTATTTTCAACTTAAGACTGTAAAGACAAATTTACCTTACAATCCTACTCTACATTAAGGTAGATTTATAATATAGTGTTAAGCTTCGTAAAAACGGGACATTACAATTTGGTTTGGCATAGATTTCTTGTTACAAGGCAGGAAATAGCGGATAATAGCGTGTTGAGTTATCTACTTTCACCCAAAATTGCCTGTTCTCTCATCCAGCCTCCAATTCAAGGGTAAAAATCGGCAGCCTAGACTGCTAAGCGTCATTCGTTACAGTGCTATGATTATAGAAATAAATGCAATAATGAGTGGGGGACTAATAAATGTTCCAGTTAAAACACAAATTCTGCCTCAAGGAAGACTCAAGGGCCAAACAGGTGCATTCGTGGCTTTTGGTTCAGAGTAGGTACGATTTGATTAATAAAAGTCTATCATAAAAATGTGAGGAAATAATGGTAGTCAACAGTGAGATCGCTTGGCAACCACGAGCAAACGGAAATGTAAAATACAGTCATCTTAATCATTTCAATGTGAAGTGAAATAAACAGGGGAACAGTTGACGTAATGAGCTTAAATAGTAATATCGCAGTGGAGAGACGGGATAATGGAAAAATACCAAAGCTAAGGAATAAGATTTTCTGTTGTGCTAGCTAAATACTAACTTCCATAGGGGCATTTTTGATACCTCTATTAATTTTGCCTCAACCTATGATTACTATAAACCTCGTTACGACAACTCGCTCCACTGGAGGAACTGAATAAATGGCAATATTAACTTGCAATATCAAATAATTATGAAACATAAATAAGCAAAATTCAATTCCTCGCTCTTTCCAAAGAGGATAAATAATCTACCCAGAGGAGGCAAGGCGATAGGTGGGAGATCCCCTCGGTGTGGTAGTCGCAGAGCTGACCGCCGTGACCACACAATTTGACTCCGATAGAGAAACCGTGGAACTAGTGGAAGGCGTTGGATGGAGGGGCTGGTAGAAAAGGAGGGGGTGGTCTTCCCTACGCACTAATGGAACAGCGGTCTGGGTGGCGGAAGTGGAGGTGGTAGCTCCAGTACTGCTGGCGTACTTAAGGTGGGTGGTGAATTGCTTGTGAAGCGCCAGAGCTTCTGTACTGGCCACGCCAGAGGCCTGATGGGCGGAGTGGGTGTCCTTGCGCAATCGTTCGCATTCCTCCGTCTTCCTCTAAAGATAGGAAGGTCGGTAGATTGTGAGGAGTGCCCAATGCCTTACTTGTATTGATTGGGCATTGCATTAATAAGTTGAATAATGTTGATTTAGAGCATAACTTCGAAGGTCATCGAGAGGGAGAGGGTAACATACATCGAGTGAAACTTGCAAACGAACTTGGTTTTCTCGAGCGACTGCAAGAAGCAATTCCAGTTGCTGTATAATCTCCTGCTGATGTGCCGTCTGTAGCATAAAAATGAAGATATTGTGAAAAAACACAAAGAGACACCATACTTATCCATTTTGTGTAGTGAAAGAAACAAAAAAACGATGCTACTACAGGAAAACAGAAAAATGAAGTAATTAAATTGACACGTTACATGTAATCAGAATGGTTTACCGCATGGCTTTCACCAACTAGACATGATACCAAATGAACGTTACGACCCAGTTCACACATTGGGGGAAGTTACGGGCATCGAAATCAAAATCTTTGTAACAATCGCTGATAATTTAAACGTTATCAAAGGCTTAATCACAAAAAGTCGTATCCACACCACTGCATGTACAAAATTCAGCTTTGCAGCGCGCTATCAGGTGATTCGTTAGCTTATAGAGGCTGCTTAGGTTGAAGTGTGTAAACAAATTTACCCTCGATCCGACATTTTGCCTCTTGGTCATCTAATAACACCAATACTTTCTTAATCCATCAAAAATTCACGTTTTTAGTAAGAGATCTAAGGGAGGAGGCACTTACCTCGTCAAGAGCATCGCGCAGCTTGCGCTCGCACTCAGTCAATTTGGCGGTGAGGTCGGAAGCAACGCTGACCGACTGGCCGGCAGTGTTGTCGAGGCGGGCCTGCAGAGCACCGGCAAGATCACGGGTTGCCGCGAGGTCGCGTCGCACCTCCTCCACCTCTCCACCCAACTCTTGGGCCCGCGACTCCGCTTTCTCTGCAGCGGTGCTGAGACGAGCGCACTATGGGAAATGGACGAACGAAGGGTGGTAACAGTTCGTCGGCCCACGAATTGAGCCTCCAGATTGAAGTTGATTGTGTCTATACCACCAAAACAACTCGGCTAAGAAGTTCTCGATCAACCTTTTATGCTTAGTAGATGTTTAACGTGGATCTGTCCCATGATTCCTGGCTTTAACTTCGTGAAAGCAGTGTAGCGAACGAATACAGTAAATATGGTCAAAGTAATGGGAAAGTGATCGAAAACGAGCAGAAATTCGCAGCAGAATGAGACTTTTAAGTGTGAAAAAGCCCAACGTAATATCTTATAATCACATGCCCACGTGATTAACGCACCATTCACAAAAAAACGGATGCAATTTTCAATAAAAACTGGGTAAAAGGGCTAAAACAAAGTGAGGAGGTACTTTTTCTTCCGCAACAACACACTCGCGCTTTGCGTTCAGAGCCGCCAATTCGGCCTTTTGAGCGCGGTCAATGTGGCTTCTCACAGCGGCCTCTTTGCCCTGCAGCGTCTCCTCCACCTCGGCCAGGGTCCGCTCCAGTTCCACATTACGCTTTGACATCGCATCATACTCTTTGCTCAGAGAGCTGAGGGAAAGAGATAGAAATTAACAGATAAAAAGCTATAACAATCTCCGCTTCAATCGCCATTTCAGCTCTCATTCGACCTAGTTGGATTTTCATTGATGATTTAATCAAATCTTGCCAAATTGAAGAGCTCTCATGCTATTTACTCTGATTTAATAATATAACGAGAGAGATGGCGTAATATCTAGAAAGATGAAAGCATAATCAAAAAGATCCCTAAAGCGTGACAAATTAAAAACGCTATTCCTACCCATATTGCGCCAAAAGGTCATTGTGTTCCTTCAATTTGGCATCTAGCGCCTGATCGGAGGCGGAGAAATTTTGAAGAGCTTCGGCCAGACGGCACTGAAGATCATTGTTCTCATTTCTGGCAGCCTGTAAATGATTTTTAAGACTTTCAACTTCATTGCTGAGAACCGTAATGTCGTCCTGAAAACGTAAGAAATGATAACGTATGATGAGATGCCATACTGATTACACACGGTAAGAAAAGAACATTCTCACAGAATGCTGCACTAAATGACAAATAAAATTATGCGCAAAATAAGGCCGACTAATTTCGGCTTTCACAAGGGTGACATAGAGCTCCAATAATAGATTTGCAATCCGTACGTATGCCTGCACGAAACCAATTCTAGCCCATATCTCTAGCTGTGCCGTCAGGGGTAGCTAACCAAGTAACTAACTAAGTAACCAAGTAACTAACCAAGTCCAGGGTGCAACAAATGGGTCGAAAAGTTAAGGGTGAACTTCCAACTAGTAGAAAGATCTCCCATTAATGCCGATCTTGAACGTGCACCCACAAGCATCCTGGACAAATCGAGTAAGTCCCAGTAAAAAAGCAAGGAATGAAACTAAATGTTGGAGGAAGCCGGCCTGTAAAAGTGAAAGTACCTTGGCTTTGGCATACTTCTCCTCTGATATGGCCCGGCTCCGGCTGACAACTTGTGAGGAAGTTTCCACCTCCTGGAGACGCTCAGTCAGTGTTTGGACTTCGCGATCCCGCTCGGCTGCCATGGCAGTGACTTGGCGGAGACGCAACTCAACACTGCTCAAGTATTGCTGCAACAAAAAACGTCAGTTTGTTTTTTCTATATCTAACTCAAGCGGAAATTTAGAAGTGTCCCTGAAGTTTCGACAGTTTCGGGTGGCCGAAGAGTAGTGGCTTTATCAGAAGAATTTTAATGTCAAGTAGTGTTCAGAATGCATGTAACGTATCAATTTCAAAGCATACGGCTGGGTTCAACACACATCAATCTTCAATCCCTTTACCTGAGCGTGAATAAAGGCCAACCAATAATGTCAAATGGATCAGATGCAGAAACCAAAGGAAGACACCTTATTCTCCTCAAACAAGTGAGTTCGCTGATCGAGGTCGCGTTTCAAGGCGACCAAATCCTCTGTGCGGTCGTCAAGACTGGCCTGGAGGGCGTCCTTTTCAGCATCCAGCTGGGATGCTACCTTGCGTAGACGCGACACCTCGTCGTGGCTACGCTAAGGGGTAGGAAAGGCAAAAAATCAAACAATATCATTGCCATTTATACTATCGTCAGGAGCAGAAAGACAAGGGGATCCATCACTGCCCACTAGTAAGAACAACAATGACCCAGGAATGGTCTCTAGAGAGGGATATCTGTTCTTAAAGGTATGCATCAGCATGAGAAGGAAGTTCATGAAGGACTCGGTAATGTAGTGATAGCTGTTAAGTCACTAAGAAGTGGCTGCAAATAACATGGGAGAATACCGTACCTTCTAATCAAAGCGGAATATTCTACTAATGTAAATATGAGAATAGGGGGAAAAGTGGAACCGAAACCGACTCACTCTAATTTCAGAATCGAACTCTACGATGCGAGCATTCAAGGACTGAAGGTCACGCTGAGCCTCAGCCACCATGGCGTCGGAGAGCTGTTTTCCTCTCACCGCCTCATTATACATGTCTTTTCGCATTGCCAACTCACTCGCCAGGGAGGAGTTCCGACCACTTGTCTGGACCAATGCGGTCTGAAGCTGCTCCTTCAACTTTTCAGCCTCCTCCTTAGTTGAGGGAGGGAGGAAGAGAGAAACAAGAAATGACGACGTGCTGAACGACTTCAACTATACTGTTTTAAATGTGCAAAGCTAGCTGAGATCCGCAAGGACCTGTACAAATCGTTAGGGATTAATTAGCTGAACTAGTGCTCGAGTGCCCTGGAAGGCTATATACATGGAAATAAGATTTCAAAACTGTAACACGCATTAATTTCAATCTCCTGTCGATACGAGTTCTCGTTAGTCGAACTTTAATAGTGTTCCTAAGCCTTGAAACGTTTTGCCATCATCCACCTTGATGGCGAGGGAAGGAGGCAATCGAGGTTGAAATAGGTGAACACCTAAAGACGCGTACCAGTTTCATTTGTTTAGCAGCACTTATACAAGCGATAGGAAAAGAATAGTGTCAAAACGTGACTTGATAACATCAAATTAGCCAGAGATAAAATGAGCACCAGAGATAATATGCTAAGCGACGTTTTAGAAACAAGAAACTAACCACGTCGATATTTCAAAATGCACAAGTGTTAACAAAATGTGAACAATCACTAGTTAGTTACCATGACACAATGCTCTCATAGTGGCCGCCTTCAAAAAAAGACTACGAAAAAAATTAACCAAACTTTTTGATAATTACCGAAAGAAGTATATGTAGGAAATGACAATCGAGGCTAAAGAGCGAATCGCTGATTCCAAAAGCCTCCTAAATTAAATATTTTCTAAATAAAAATCCGTTGCTTGGGTGACTAGCAATATTAATGAAAATGACAAATAACTAATAGTAATAATACACACGATTTCAAAGCTATATTAAGTTGTGTCGCACCTTTTTCGAAGTCATCTGCTCTACTTCGCATTTCAACTCCTCCACCTGCCGCTCAAGTCCATCGGTGCGTCTTTGAGAGGCTTCTAGCTGCGTACGAGAGCTGGATAGAGCTGTCTGGAGGGCAGAAATCTCTTCCCTTAACTGCTGCTCCTCACTATGATCGTACTCCGAGAGTCTCCGCGTTTCAGGCGAGGCTCTGACACGTAGAGATTCATCGGGATTAGAAACAGCGCTATTTGTCGACTGATGATTTAAGGCTTGGGCATACTCTGAGGCAGTAACTCCAGAAGAGAAAGTTGGATGTTTTGAAGGAGCCTCCGACTTTTGTGCCTAAGCATAGAGCAACTTGTGATTTGAAGTCATAAATAATCACCCATTAAAATGGTGAGTAAACTCTACCTTTTCCAGTTCCAACAAAAGCTGATCCCTCTCAGATCGCAAAGATCGGACTCCAGCTTGGACCTAAAACACACAGAGAGCAAATTCCTAGATGCTTGAAAAAGGAGGGTAAGAAGAAAAAAAACCTACCCCAAGAAGATTCTGTTCAAATTGATCCAGCGTCATCCGAAGCATATCGCGCTCTTGCTTTATGGTTTCAATTTCTGAATCATTCTTTGGACTCATCTGCAAATGAAATGAATGCAACTACCCTCAGGTCTGCATGGCAATGGCTTAGATTTCCCAGCCCACTTCGAAAAATCTCAATGCATTGGCGAAACATCGGTCGGCGAAAACAGAACATAAGAAGAAAAACACAGAGCCGACACAAATACAAAGGAGAGGGAGGAGAGGCAAATGAAACCAAAGCTCACTTACAAGTGCTGCTGACTGCCCGTGGTAACGATGATGACTAGACATACAAGTGAGACGAGAGATTTCAACTTGAAGCTCCTCAGTTCGCCGAATGTAGTAATCACGCTCCGACTCTGTCGCCTTTAGCAGAGCCTTTAGCATCTATAGAAATGTTGAGTGCTTATGCAGTGGAGAGGATGAGAGATTCAGACTCAACCAGGAAACAAGACAAAGGGACAGCGATTTGACTCGAAAGAGGAGGACAACAGCTAAGCTGAGAATGGGATGAAAATAATTAACGCTAATGAAATGGCAAGTCTACCGAAATTTCGTGGTCTAGGTAGAACACTTTTTTTGGGAACACAAAAAGCGTCGCTTATTTTTGTGGCAAACAGCTTTTGCATTCAATGAGTAGTGATAACATTGATTAGTCAAAGAAAGACTTTTAGATCAAAAACAGGTAAACTTAGAAGGTTATTATTTCCATTTATTAGAGCGTTCCCAAAACCCAACGTCGCAGTAGTTCTTACAATGACAGATTAACTCTCCTCAGTATAGATAGTAGAGAAACTTCTAACGGATTAAGAAGATCCTTTTGCGTTGAATCAGCTTCTTTTCCCCGCATATAGGATAATTAACACGATGACACTGAATAATGGAAAAGGAAACGGGATGAGAAGGCGACTTCAACCATGAAAACCACTTGATTTACTATCAGTAGCAGCCAGTGTCTTGAGTCATCAAACTGCGATGAACACGATAACTTAAAAACAAAGGAGCAATCCAAATCCTTTAAGCAGTTTAGCATGAAAATGGAGGAAAAAGACCACCTCAGCAATCACTAGTCTAGATAACGACAAACCGACGAGTGAGAAGCTAAATGTTTTTAGAGTTCGGTTGTTTCGATAACAGACCATGTAACACAAGATGTCAACAGAGATTAGAGTCATCTCACTAGAGGAAATAAGAGATAAAGAAATTGTTATACTGATATAAGCTAAAACAACTCCATTGTTGGAATTATTGCACGTTCGGAATAACATCCGCAGGACACAACGAATAAATTAGAAAAATGCAGCATAAAAAGTGATGAGAGCAGAAGAAACACAAACGCATAGATGGGATCATGAAATTCCATCAACTGCGACAACAATGTGAGGTCCGACTACAACTACCTCAGCAATATCTTAGCGCATATCAAGCCGTTGCATCATTTGCATGATTAATGGATAATTCAGCGCTACAAGTATCCAGAATCGGGAATATTAAAGGCATGAAAAGAGAGAGCGCACCTCCGAGGTAAATTCACGTCCAACGGAAGCTTCATCTCTTTCATGGGCTACGTTTGGGGCTTCAAGATGGGCAGACTGCGTGTGAGCGTTCTGGTTGTCACCCCCCATAGCGTCGCTGGTGGTGACAAGTGCAGCGCCCGTTGTAAACCACCGGCGCAGGCTGCGATTCAGGTGGTCCACCTGCGCGCGCAGTGTCTCCCGATCCGCCAACAAACCCTGCAGATGGTTAAAGGGTAGGGGTGGGGCATACGAGGTTATATCGCCATCTCCGTTCTGTATGTGAGGCTATGCCTATAACTACGTTAATTTGAATAGAGTAGGGAGCAGTAAGCATTATCTTATACTGCAAGGATTATTCTCATGAAAAGACTGAAAACTTCACGATGTGTGAAATAAGTATAAATAAATGTGCACGCATGGTCACTTAGATGGAAACAGATCTAATTAGTTCTCTTGGCCACACTACGAAAAGGGAAACATACCTCTATGTATTCCTTGATTGGAGGCTCATAATTTTCTGTTACCTGCTTTGTGGTAGCAACGGCATTAGTACCAGCAGCGGTAGTAGGCAATAGAGAGGGAGTCTTTTTGATTGTAGACCTCATCATATTCCGTTTGACAGCTTGTGTTTGTTTTTTAGCCGGTGGCACGAGGCGTTTCAGACGCTCAATCTCAAGCACCATTTTCTTCTCTAATTGGAAAGGGGGTTAGATCAATCCCACTGAATGTATCCCTACAGCTAGTGAGCAACTTACGACAATTCACCAATTCATCCGTCCGACTGAGAAAGTGACTGTTAGTCTTTTCAAAGTTATCTAGCAACTTAGCCAACTCGTACCGACCCACCTGCGGGATAAGGTACAATAAGTACAACAATATAGATGAACTACTTTCAATTATCCAATTTCATAAACCGGTAGAAGAAACAATCAAGAATGCATGACTACCTTTTCCTATAAAAAGAGAAATTACGAACATTAATCGTGACCCAATTGTGAGGACCAAAAATGACCAAAATAGCACGTTGGAAAGGTGAAATGGAGGGATTGTGGCAGATCAACCACAATAACCAGTTTTTAAGTGGTTCGATGCTTAAAATCCACCCAGTTTTAAGAACTTCACAAATCACCCTAATATGAGCTCAAAGCGTAGATAATACTGAAAACTAGGGGCAGAAACACCGTTGAGAACCATGAACACACAAAGAAGGGGCAGCGAAGGGGAATGGATTGTACAAAAGGCCACAACCAGGAGAGAAAGATTATGCTGGATACAATCAAAAAATAAACGACATTTGAAAAGCATCCAAGGAAAGAAATACCTTGCCATTCATGGGATGCTCAGGAAGGTCGCACTGCGAGGCTCGCTCTCGCCTTGATGATACCGCAAAAGCGGACTGACTAATCGCTTCCAGACGTAGGAGCATCCGTTTTTCCAACTCCTCATTGCGCTTCTGCAACAGGTCTACCTGGGACTGCAACTGCCCAATCACCAGATCCGCGTGACCCTTTTGCGACTCCAGCACCAACCTCTCAGGCGGCTTTTCCACCTCAATGACCCGACGGAGACGGTCAATCTCTTCGTTCCGCACCTCAATCTGAAACCGGTGAGGGCCAAAGGCCGTTATAGAGATCGTTCATAGGAGGTATGCTATAACTACGAAAGTTCTTAAGTCTCCATGACTTCACCCACTACGGAGTTTTTATCCAGACACATTGGCTTGTAAGGTCTCCGCAGAGGAATAAGACGCCACAATACTTTACCTGTTTCTTTAAAGCTGCCGTCCGCTTCTCAGTAAGCTCCCTTTCCTTTTGCAGTAGTAGAATACTTGCTTCGAGATCAGAGCAGCGTTTTGTCAGCATTTTCACTGCATCGTTGTTCTGAAATTCCAGGTCAAAGATAGCTTATTTGACATCGCCCATATTAGGTTCAAAAGGTCTTGAAATGCGTATGAAAAAAGTGTGCGAATAGGGGAAGTACATCCCTAACGCCCTGATCAGAAAAAAAAAAACAAACTAAAATCAGGAACATGCATGGCAGAATTAAGTTACTTTAGTATTTAGAGCAAATTATTCAAGGCATAATTTAATAAAAATCGGAATTTAAAGATAGACTGGAGGCTACATCTTTCAGATCTATAAACGCCCCATTAACAAGCTGTGAGATTAAAACAAAATCTACGTGTCAAGATCAATTGCAGTTACAGGTTCGTTCAAAGATTTATCGCCGCTGCAGACATAAGGTTGCGCTCGACCCTCAGTACAGCTTGGAGCAGGGTCGGAAGTATTAAGGTTTGAATTGGCAAGATCATGAAGGTCAGAATCTTTGCGAGGAGAATCGAGTCCCGCACCGTCGGTATCTGAAAGATGTGTGTATCTTAACTCATCAGAATAAGGGAGTTCGAAGCCATGGCAACATTTTCTCCATCTCACTGAATGCATTCAGAAGTAAAATATAGTGCATGAAAACGGATTACTTCAAGTGACGCATATCTAGCTTAGTAACTTCTAATCCACAGCCAATGAAGATATGTCAAGTAATATTTGTGCTATTTTATTAATGCAAGTTCCAAATCTATGAGTTAAATCACTGCAATTTCACTGATACCAAACAATGACTAATAGAGCAAAGATATGTGATCTAGATTTAGAAATATGGATTTATCATAGTGAAAGTAAAAATCTTCGAAAAACCATTATTAAGAGGCATTAAAATGCCGCTTAAGATGGGAAAGCATAGCTTAAAAAACCAGATGAAGATGTTCACGAGCAAATATTGTTAGCATGTATCATTTGCAAAGTTAAGCACGTAGAAGTACCCAAAAGCCAGCTTCAAGTAAATATTATTAAACGGAAAATGGATACAAATAAACGAACCCGGGGCATTAGCGTGTGGGGGTTTATCAGTAGGTTTTACTAACTGCTTCGATTCAAGCTCGAGAGTTCGAAGCCTCTTCATGCAATGGGAGTTTAAGATCCGAAGATCATGGTTGACAGACTCTAAACTTCGCGATTTTTCACTTAGCTCTAAAAAGGTAACTTAGGGCAATTGTTAACCTTGAATTTGAGCCTTGTATCGTTCGTGAATTTCTGATATATCCCTGTTAAGGGATGAACACTCGTTCTTCAAAGTCGAGTTTTCTGCTTTTAGCGTACTGCATTGTCCTTCCAATTCCAACTTAAGCTTGGACGAAGACTCACGTTTATTTTCTCGTAACCCATGTGTTGCAAGAATTAAGTCGTCTAGTAGACGCTCAACAAGAGATAAGCTCTCTTCTCCCAAAGGTTCCCTATAGCCCAACACATCAAGCTTCTTCCGGACAGAACGGAAAACTTCAGATTCTACGACCATTTCAGGCCGCAACTGACCAGTTTCCAAACGGCAAAGTGAGCCAATAAAGTTACCACTGCGTTTCTTGAATGTAGCATAAGCCAATCACTTGCCGCGAGTGTGGTGACTACGAACAGAGTGAGGGTTGTTTACAATCTTAAAGGGGCGGCCAATCAAGCACTTAATATTTGTGACTTCGAAAAACAAGAATTTTCAATTTGAGAAATTTGTGCGCGATTTGTTTATCGTGCAGGGAATAAGCTTTAATTTGTTGCTTTCGCCCCATCAAGCATCATTTCATCCTGACAAAAGTCGTGCTCGCAATTTTGATCAACTCATTTCAATTTACTCACCAGGAGCTTGGATTTCGGCGTACGTTCTGTGACAAGGTTTAAGTATGATTTGTGCTTTGACAAGTGAACGATGTGCAAGGCAGTACAGCATAAGTGCACTTTGGTTTAAAGACTAATATGTAAAGAAAAAAGATCTTCACGGAGTCATTAATTTTCAATTGAAATAGTGGTGCATCCATATCGCACTCATCCACACAATATTGGCCAATGCGGCCTTTTACATATTTAGAGCCGTAGCTGTTTTCAAATGTGGATGAGAAAAAAATTGGTTTTTGTGGTCGTCAGCACAATCGCAGACTACCTAGGAAGAACATAAAAGAATAAAGGACACAAAATGGATATGTAGATCATGATGTGATGCCACCTAACCTATCCCTTACTTAATCAGTGAGTACTCGACATGCATCTATGAAAAGGGAGATTTTACTATTCATTGGCCGATCCCACTATACCGGGGACCATATTATAAAATCTACCGACCCCTACTAGATGCTGTTTCGCTTCTATGCGGCATGACCTACCACTATCATCTTGAGAGGAAAATACTCATGGGAAAAGCAAAATCCCCCACCCCATCCCCAAAAAGAAAGAAGCATTCCTAAGGAGTCCGCCGAAGTTACAACTGCCATGCCTCATACCATACCACATATTGAAAGTGACCAAGCAATCAGCATCGGAGACTGCCTTCGTGTGACTACAAACCTTCAGAGGCGCATTAGTAACAGTAAAAACTAATTAACGCCGCGAAATGAAAACTGTAATTAACACAGCCTACTGACCCCAACAAACGGAGAATGCAGACCAAAAGACCAATCCGCCCCAGCGACGAAGTCACAGATGCTACATCATATCACATACAGGGCAAAGGTAATTTTACAGAGTACTTCAATGTACAGAAGCAATCCCCTTCAGGCATAATCATTTTCTTGAATATGACTTTTTCCGCTTTGCGTTTCGACCACCAACAGAACCAAATTTCCTTGTTTTAGGTGCCTTCCCAGCTGCAGCAGTAGAAGCCGTAGCATTGGTCCGCTTTCGTTTATTTCGCTTTTGCAAAGTGCGTTTCACAAACTCCTTCCGTGCCGCAGCCCCCCGCAAATTAGTTGGAACTCTAAAGTTGACACTGCCAGCACCAACAGATCTCTGTTCCTGATGACTCCCAAGTTTTGTGCGTCGTTGCTGCTTAGTCTTCTTCGACTTTTTGATGGACTTCCAGGCCTCAACGCGCAACTGACGTCCACCGACTACGAGACTCTGTGACTCAGTTGAATCACCGCCACCGCCAGAGTGGCCCAATGCAGCCTGTCGAATGACAAGCGCGACAGAGCTGGGATCCTCGAACTCCACGAAACCGATGCCCTTCACCGCACCTGTGGCCGAGTCACGAACTAATCGGACGTTCGTGATGTTGCCAAAGGATTGGAACACTTGACGTACCTAAACAAACCAGACGGGATCTTGTAATACAAGCAAAAATCAGCTCTAGGTGCGCCTAATTTAGCACCTTGGCGTTAAGTTTCATATTTCTCAAAAAAAAGGACATAGGATAAGGTCAAATAACACTCAAATTAAGAAATTCGTTGGACGACAGCAAAAACCGAAGTAGAGTTAAATATCCTACCTCTTCTTCATTTGCTGAAAAAGGAAGATTGCCTATGAATACGCTCTTGTGTGTGTTGTAGGAGGGATTGCGCCGACTACAGATATCAACGCGAATATGACGACCTGTGTCGGCATCGTCCTTCGTGAGGAGATAGCCGTTCAGCTTCAAAACTGTTGAAATTCCCACAGTGGAGGTGAGAACCACAAACCCAATTTGTGTGTGCTTGTCTCCAGCTAGAGTTACAAAATGGTGAGATGAAAATTCGGTATGCATGGGCAAATTAACAACCGAGGCTTAATTTCCAAAAGCGAATAGTAGCAAAGGAGAATGTGAGACTAAGTTTACAATCTTACTTTTATAAGCGGTTTTAAAATAGGCTACAATTTAAAAAGCCACCTCAAGTTAACAAGTCTAGTTGACATTCGCAATTTGATCAAAAAACAGCTAGGAGAGATGACAAATGATGATAATAGTGATTGAATATTGCGAAAACACCGGTTGGGTTAAGTATCACATACAGACTATGAACAATCAATAAGTGGCTGGTAACTTTAAAACTGAAAAGAATACCACCGTAGCACACACAAAGTTACAACGATAAACCACTAGGTGAACATTTTAATCAATACAACTAAAGCATAACAAGACGAAAACCTAGTAAAAAAATACTTATCAGCTTAAAGCATTGCAGGCAAATATGGTGGTTAATACGAAATTTAATGACACACCGGCAAATTCGTGCCGAATTGAAGATCGCTTTTTCGCCTGTTTACTAGTGCCACCAGTGATGGGCACAGCCCCACGAAGACGAACAGACTCAATCGTGCAGTCCACTGTGTCAATTTTGGACTTCTTGAGGACACTGCTGAAGAGTTTGTGAAGAGCCCTTCTAGTCATCCAGGCAGGCAAATTGCCAACAAAAACAGTTCGTCTCAGACGATCCTTTTCCGCCTTTCGACGCTCCCTCTGTTTACTATGGGAATTACAAAAAGTACAAAATTAGAAAATAGGTAATATATTTGGGTTGATGCAAAATCAGCCTTTCAAATTTACAAAACTGAAACCTACGCGCGTGAATTCACGGCAAGACCTTCATCAGCATCGGAATCACTCGAATATTCTTCAGTGCTCAAGACGGGGGAACGTACTTCTACTTCTGATTTTCTCACCGACTTCTTTAATAACCTGGGCCTCTGTGTTCTGTGTTTTAGCAAAAATATACCAGAAGAAGGGCCATTAAAGACCGGTAGATTTTTAAACTTTACCGATACAATGGAAATTAGAAAGTCATTAGCAAATAAGAACAAATTTGTGGTAGTACAGCCTTATTAAAAAATTCACTAATTGAATACGTTTGATGACGACAACCTCCCACTCATCAAGAACAAAGGTAATCGTGGAAAAATATTTAACTCAGTTCCAAAAATTCGAACTAAAACCTTACGTCTCGTCTGTATCAGCAGCGCCTTCCCAATTCTCCACCATAGCAGTCGGCGAGTCATCAGGTAACCTGACGTCCACAGAGAAACTCCCTTGTAAATGCTTATTCTTCTTTGATAATTTTGTTTTCTTTATCCTAGGAAGCGTAGTTAAGGGGCAGCCGGGACGCCTACATATTGAACATGAAGCACGAACTATATCACGCCAAGTGAGTTCGCAAAGTTATATTATAAACCTATTAGTTAAAACAATCCAATTGGTTAGTTCATGCAGAAATTTAACTGTTTTCAGCTGCTTTACTACTCCCTCGTGCCAAAAAAAGTTTGGATCCTTATTTATTGCTAACATTACCCACAACACTCAGTTCTTCCTGCCCACTTCATTTTCTGGTTAAACATTTCCTAATGAACTACCTATTTTATGCCAGTTCAAACATACTTGCTCATTGTGTTTGCTCAGTCTTACACAGGCAAGTCAATGAAACCGCATTTCGTCAACCCACCATTGCCTCTGCACTGTAGAGCTCCGAGGCTTTACTGAAGACAAAAGAAGAAAACACTAGGGCAAATATACATATGCTTAGCCCACGGTAGGGTTTAGGACCACTGGAATGGCCCGAAAGCCGACCCACCAGGTGAGAGCACAATGGTCAAAACGCAAAGTTGCACCTTATCAAAACCGGTAGTTGAACACACAAAGTATTACAGCACACCAAATGCGTAACTACATAACCTAAATTCCTATATTCCTTGAAGTTGTAAGATACTATCTCAGACTGCATAATGGACTTAGTGCTCCTACAAGGAAGGCTGGAAGCATAGTGGAATAACCTCCTTCCTTGCCTCCAAAAGGGAGCATGGCCCGCGATAGCTCAACATTCCACGTGGCTAAGCAAAAGGAATGTCAAACCCTTGCCCGACCCCATCGATTTTATTAAAAAAGTGGGCAATCGTATGACTAAGCTCTCGCCAATTATTATTAGGCGTAATTCAGTCTATAAGTGAACTAGCTCCCAAAAATACTTAAGATTACTAACATTTCATGTGCAAGGCTTTGCGAGTGCTTCGATGGGCACCACTGACCAACATTGTCACAAACGATACCCATTCATCGACCCCCCACCTGCACTAAAGAAAACCACGCCACGCTAGAAAAATACACCCATTTGGCCGTGAAAATCCTCTGACTCAATTTTGGGAAAAAAACGATTCTCGACTCGTTGAAGCCTACGATGGCACCCCAGTCACAAAGATGTGCGAGTAACCCACGCCGGTTCCTCACCCACTCGTACCCCACAGAGACAAAATTGTTACACATTAGTGTTGTCCGAGAGTATTATTGTATAAAAAACCAAGCCACTGGGTCGACACACATCTCAATGAACCACAGCAAAGGCTCCAGAAGTCCTTACTTCATTCTATAGAGGATTCTGCGCTGCATTCTGTACTGAATCTCTCCACGACGAATCATGTAGTGAAGTACTTTCATCACCGTTCTCTCTGAGAAACCCTAGGGAGGAACACAACAAATAATAATAACGATCACAGCAAGTCAACGGCAAAGAGTACCGATGACACACCTGGCGTGTAAAGTCCTGCAAAATCGCGTGCTCCGAGACCTGCGAGCCAATAACGAAGCGCTTCTTCAACTGCTTCTCCACCCGCAGCACGAGTTCGTGCTCTTCCTGACTGGTGAAGCCCTCAGCTCCCTCCAGACTCCCTGTCATAAAAGCTTCCAGCGTGGAGACCTGGAAGAGACGCAACGCCTCGTCCACATCCGACTCCGTGGCGAAAGGGTCCAGTCTCATCTTTGCCAGCGCCTCGGAGATTCTAACTATGGCCTCGAGTTGACTAAAATCCCACAACACCAAGCGATCAAAAACATTCGCAACCAGCGTCACATGTTGACCCTATTCTCTGAAGTAAACCTGCAACTCAAAAGTAAGGTTGACCAAAAAATCAGTTGGACTGGAAAGGAAAACTAAAGCAAGGGCAGTTGATGTCATGCTGGAAGGAATATTTGGGATGTGGCAGTCAAACCTCCTGGCTATAAACGTGTTAATGATGTGAAGGGGGAAGCAGCCACCTCCACACTTACCGAACAGTGATGGGGATAGCAGCGCGCTTTCCCGTCTGCTGCTCAAGACGACTTGCACCCGAGCGCATGAGAACATACTGATTGACTAGCTTTTCGGCCGCTGCTGCCGAGAGTCGGGGACCGCAGTGCTCACGCGCAAAAGCGATGAAACGACGCAACTTCGAAAGGGGTATTTCATCGGACGTTGAGCCATCTTCCGTAAACTCCATGTTGCCTGTCACATCACTGCAATGCAGGAGAGAAATGACAGAGCCACCACCTTCTAAATCATGCCATACTTTGGAGCAGAAGGGGACGTACTTGCCGTGTAGATGGACCTGCATAACATGATGAGCCAGAACGCTGTCCCGAGCAGCATCATGTTCATCACGAACGACAAAAATCATGTCGAAACGTGAGAGAATGGTGGGCATGAAGTCGATATTGCTTTCACCCTTGGTGTCATCCCAACGACCATAGACGCTGTTAGCAGCTGCAAATACGGAACAACGACTGTTGAGTGAAGTGGTGATACCCGCCTTGGCAATAGAGATGGTCTGCTGCTCCATTGCTTCATGGATGGCCACACGATCGTCCTCGCGCATCTTGTCGAATTCGTCGATGCACACTACGCCACCGTCAGCTAGTACCATTGCACCACCTTCCATTACAAAATTGTGCTGAAAAACAGACCACATTTAGGTAAACTGACATCAGTAGCCAAGTCAGTGGCACATGATTACATTGCAAACTTACGGAAGTCGGATCGCGAACGATTGAAGCAGTGAGACCGGCTGCAGAGCTGCCCTTACCAGACGTGTAGACACCAACAGGTGCACATCTTTCGACAAATTTCAATAGCTGTGATTTCGCGGTACCTGGGTCACCCAGAAGGAGAAGATTGATATCACCACGCCGACAGAGGCCATCAGGGAGTCTAAAACATCCGGAAGATTAGCTTGAGGGAAAACCTACCGCTTACGAGAGCCGCCGAAGAGAAGACAAGCGATTGCCTTCTTTATATCAAGACTGCCGTAGATGGACGGCGCAATGCTGCGAGCAATGAGCTCGTAGATGTTGGGAGTGCTAGCCAGTTTGCGCATCTCCTCTTCCTCTAACTCAGTGCTAGTAATGGTTACGGTATTGAGCGGTTTTCCGCCTGAAAACACTCCGCTGCGACCTGGACCCTCGGTGTTTACAGTGAGACCGAGAACGCGGATGTAAGACATACGGACGCCGACATTAACGCGCTCATGGACGCTCGTCTTAACCTGTGAACAATCGACACAGAGAGTATGGTTATGGTAGTGAGATATATGACACAGAAAGTGATGCTTATGATCCAGGAAGGCTAGAAACTAATGAATGGAACAAAGCCGATTGAAAGGAGAACAATAATCGCCAATTAATAAACTTCGTGGGTCATCACTTTCGCTGCAAAGCAATGAAGCAGTCTTATCGAGGACGAAGGCTAGTAAACATGGAAATGAGCATATTCGTAGTTATCAGTTATATAAGCTAGGATAAATAATACAAAAGGTTGAAGGGGTTAAAAGTACGCAAATGCCCAACTAACCTTAGTAGGTGCAGATGCTTGTATGGAATAGATACCAACGACAGTAATTCTGTTACCAGGAGCGACTTGTTCCACCAAATATCTATAGTAAATTTAAAAAAGCTGATTGCTTTGAGAGTACCTGTCGCAGTAGAGTTGCATGTGTCGGGGCATTTCGCCTTGAGGAACGGAATCTGGAGACTCCTGTAGCTTCAAGACCTGGTAATCAACACATTGACACTTATCAGGAACGATGAAGTAGGGATCTATGGGACAAGGAGCGGTAACACCACCAGCTTGTACAGAAGAACACTTCCTCGGTAGCATATAACCCTCAAAACCCGGTCGAACACGAATATTTGGTAAGAATTGTCGACATCCACGGCATTGAAGGGTAAGACGAATAGCCTATGTCTGTTTTAAAAAGATAATTAAAACTGATACTTTAGATTTCACGCTAGAAGCCGACACTACTATTCCGCTTATTTTAACCAGCTTCGAAACTTGCTCAGAATGTAGTTCTCTAATATTAATGGGAGTTGCCTCCCACTCCAAAAGCAGCTGTATAGACGGAAGGGTTTCGTTTGCAGAAAGAGAAGATTTCATGATCTCTGTTGCGACTTCAGTTGTAGCCTCCTCAAACTAGAGGTATTAGCAGGTTACCATAACATACAACAGCGATGTAATCAGTAGGACGCTGGATAAGCATTTGTGCCAAATAACTGTCAAAATTGTTCAGGTCTTGAAGCTTCAATACCAGATTATAAATTTTAAGAGTGCAATTCTGCTTGAGTTGATCTCTAGTTGGACAATAAGGAAGATGATATATGATTACCTGTATGTAAATGACAGTCCACCAACATTATACTGTCGTAGAAAGTCCTTAAACTTCCTTTTGGCTTGTTGAAAATCGGCAAATATGTCGTGATCTGCGGGCTGGGCGAAAAGACTATCGGAGTGATACACAGCACCGGCATCAAAACCAGCCATCTTTACATATTCCGAGCCACGCGCTCCGCAAAAATACAGGGATTGTGATGCAGCAAAACTACATCAAGGTAGTAGGGTGTAAGTGTTTCCTTCTAATATTTTAATTAGCATCATAATGCTGTAAAAAAACATTCGTAATGTCTAATAAAATATTTTTAGACAGAACTAATAATGCCTAACACAGAGGAATTTAGGTTAATGTAGCCATACAACTAAAAAACTTTTTCGCATTTTAAACTTGAAACCCCAGAAACACTTCATTATGCTACTTTACAATTAGACTTGTCCTAATAGGTCAGCATTTGCTCCTTAGAGCAGATGTATAGGGCGGATCAAATACAACAGCTACGACTTTTCAAATTTTAGTTTTAGGTTTTTATAGCATGCTAAATTTGGCAAGTACGTGACGTTTTTGGTGGCTGTTTAGTGCGCATGCATTTTGTTTTGCGCGATCTGAATCAAATTTTAACAGTTACTTTTAACGCTGTTTATAAACTGGCTTTAAAAAATCCTGTGTTTAGAAGCTACTGTCAGTTTGTCCTGCAAATTTTATTCGTATTTTTTAGACTAACTTGTTTTAGTGATTTAAAATGCTAATGCGCTTTACGATTTATTCGGGTAATTGCTGTCGGCTGACCTGCTCGTGGACTTGTGGTAGGGGGTGTTCTTATTCATGTCCTAGTTTAGAAATTTTGATGTAAATTAAGTGCTCGCTCAATGCTGCTAACCTGCAATAAAGAGCAATATTTCCGTTTTTTCCACAATTTGATGGGTGCTGCTTCGGACGGCATGGTTTTGTATTTTGAAAACGTGTCATACTCACATCAAAACATGCAGCTGAAATCTTGAGGTATAGCGGAGCTTCTTCACAATAAAGTGAAGTAGTTAGGCCAGTTTGATGACCTATCTTATTTACGCTGACTCGCTGCTAAAGTATCTAATTGATGTTCCTCCATTTTGGCATCAGTGTTTCCATGACTTTCCGGAGAGTTTTTGTGTACATTACACGAATATTTCTGAAACTGTTTGCCTTTTGGTTGCTTTTATTTAAGTTAAATCAATTCTTTTTATGGTGTGCACAAATATTTACGCCATTTTATGCCCAATCTTTTAGTTTGAACACCTGCCGCATGCCTTAAATCATGACTTTCCACCATAATATTTGCCACTGATTTTAACTTAGTCCTCTTTGAGATTTTTATGCTCTTACTGTACCTGTTTTAAAGTCTTTTTCATCTTAGTATGCTTTCCCTTCAACGTAGCTTGGATTTCCCGTCACCTAATTTTAGGCTTGGTACATGCATTTCCTTTTTCCCCTTTTTCATCTGATTGTTTTTTTTTCCTAAGTATCGGTCAATTTTTTCTTTCGAAAATATGTCATACTCTGTTTGAGCTGGTTCACTTAAACGAACACTTGCGTGTGTGATCGTTGTTCATTAGGTTGAAGTACTGCTAAATGTCAGAAGAATTCAATGGAATGCTTTTCGTCTGTATCATTGTTCCTTCTTACTATTTCTACTTTCCTACAGCCTAGAGCAAACACCCATGAATCATTGGATTCATTTTTAATGCACTAATGATAATTTCCTGTTGGATGACAAATTCATCTGTGAAGTAATTGTCTGCAGTCTGTTAAACGCTGAGCCACTTATTTTTATTGTCAACAAATTTATTTATCTGCCCAAGTTCTCTAGTGCTTTACGGCAGAGCTCATAAAATGCGTCATACTGGTAACACTCGTAGGATCCTTTGTAGTAGCCTGATTTTAAACTGTTTTTATTCAGATACATCGCACACCTAGCATCTGGATAAAAAACAACCCAAGTCGCAATGAACAGCGACAGCTGGGATGCCATTTCGGCTCAAATAAGGAAAAGCATTATTGACGAAAGGAGTATTTTATCCGAATTTCCACCTGAGGCAGCCAGCATCACAGCTCGAGAAATTGTTCTCAGTTTGGCGGTAAGCCATTTCTCACTATCAATTTGTTTTTACTTTTAAAAGGACATTCTATTCAATCCTTCAACAGGCCCTTAATTCGCTATGTCAGATTTCCAATTTGGTGACTTTTATGCTCATCCTGTAGAGGTATTGTCTATATAACGTCTTAGGTAATTTATTATCTACTTGTCAAATTCTACACAGTTAACGTACTTTATCTCTCTGATTGGACCCATTGAGGAATATGATATAGCAATTCAAGCTAAGCACGTGTGTTTCCACTTAGGGTGGCCAGTGTTGCCGCCTGTGAAACTGCACTCATTTCGATGCTAGAGCTGGCTTCTCATTTTTGATTCCATTTGCTTCTCAAACGATTTTTCTTATAATTTTCTTGCAGTTATGGTAGTTGTATAAAGTAGTAACTTTTTTGACTCACCTGGTATTTGTTAGAAAAGTTTACTCGAACATCTGGTCTACAATCACAATGCTACTCAATTAAATTAATAAAAATGTCCAAATAAGTCTGTTTATTCATTGCCAGGCCGACTGCTCCTGCAAGAAGGCAGCGCTGATGGAGGCAGCACCACCTCCAAAGCGTCCTCTTGGTCGCCATGTCAATAATACTACTGAGACTAAGCCAACGGTTATGGTCAGACCGACACTGGAGATGGCAGCGACTACGGAGGCACGTTCCAAACGCTTTTCTGTCAAGTTAGACACCGAAGCAGATCTGCAGTGGGTTATGCAGGTGGGTAATGGTTGTGCGAGCCGTTCACTACTCCGACAGTTGATGCCGTTCCTCAGTGACACTTCTGATAACCAGGTGGTCTCTCCAGAGCCATGTCTTATTCAAAGCATTGATGCGAGCGGTCATACCCTTCGCAGTGCCTAAAATACATAAGGCACATTTCACCGCATTGTCACCGCTGTAGCGTTTAAGTTACCCTTGAGAACATTCTAGGCAATACCATGGTTGGTACCAACATCTAGAAGAGCAATTTTGCGCTATTGCTGACATCGGTAGTGCTTAAAGTAAAAACGAGTTCTTTTTCCCCTCCCTCATGGCCGTCTCCCCACTACAAAAGACCATCAACTACGGACTGACAATGCCCCCCGAGCATTGGGACATAGTGGCGCACAGCGTGCACCTCTACTGTGAGTGGTTGGGCTGCCTCCTACCGGCGCAGAGTCAAAAGGCTGTGCACATGCCGCGCGCTCTCCTCACCAGTCCCGCAGTGTATGCACGTCGCCTCCTCTTTGCCCTCTGCCGCTTCTTCGCACCCCGCGCTCCCATGGATCGCCCAACAGACGGGTTCTTTAATCTTCTCCATCAGCCGCCTTGCGATCCTCCCGATCCCGCCTGTATTGCTAGTGCCACCGCTACCAATAGCACTGTGGAAGCAATTGCGCGCGGTGAGTTGGCACCCCGCTCTTCGTATATTGCCGATGTTTTCCCGGAATAAGGCATAAGATTTTCCCTCATTTTTTGTACGATGGGATGTTTTTTCAATCACTGAATGAGTTCCCCATATAGCGTTAATCTATTTCGACACCTGAATTTTTATAGTTTGGTATGATTCCTCGTCCCTTTTTTCGTACAACACAAATCTTCCGATCTCGTTGCTAAATTCCGTTCACAAGTTAATGGCTCATTTCGATCTCGGGTACTTTGCTCTCTAATCTCGATTTTTTTGCTACTTTTTCGCTTATTTTCGCCTGCCGTGCTTGTAGGATGAGGTACACGTTTTCAAGCACCCACTATGACGTATGAATCCTTTCTCCTCATTGTCATTGGGTTTTTGAACGAAGGATCGTCTTAGAAAGGAAAAAATTAAGAACCAAGTGGTGGGCTTACTCGGATTCAATGTCTTTTTTGGTTTATTTCTTTGCTGGCATAGCTAATACAGCTCATGTTCTGGTCATTTATTTACGTAGCATTATCGTTCCCAAACAAGTGCTACTTTCACCTATGGGGATACCTCGCTACGGTGGCTCATATTGATGGTTAAATATGGCGTTTATTTACGTCATGCGTTTTATTTTTTCTCAATGCATGATCCTCTTCAATTCATTACCCCCGTTAATTGTCAGAATGAATGATTGCCTTGCTTGCAACACTTCCTAGTGATCGCGTCTCATCCGAGCCCTGATCTGGTGCTTGCTTGTTTGTTTGTAACTGTTTCTCGTGGGATAGGATATGAAAGCACGATTTTAAAGAACGCGTTAAGTTTCAGATACCATTATGTGTTTCTGGTTGCCAAAAAAGACCAAGCGATGTTTGTTTACCCACCTTGTGTGTTTACGAGTTAAGTGTAAATCGTATCTATCCACTCTCCTAATGTCTTTGTCTCTGAGTCGGCGAATAAGAGAATGCTTGTGTAGTTACCTGCCTGTATCCCTCTTGCATTTTCAAAGTTGGGCGCTATATTTCGAGTTTTCCCATTTAAAGTGATTGGTTGTTTGTGTTTCGTGCGCATGTGGTAGGGCAGGAATCCTTGACCATCTCGGTTGTGGGGAGAATTTACTACCGCAACTGGAAGTGGGACTACACAAACATTCACCTTAGTGATGCTTGTTATGAGTTAGAATAAATGACTGAATGAATATTCGCCAGTCTTTACCAGCATTCTAGCAATTTTTCTTTCTGTGTAGCTGAAAAACTGCCTTGTTTGTGTTAATCTTCATAATGACTGAATGCGAGGGCAGCATTGAGCCAAGCCGAAGCCTTGTGCAACTCGCCTGTTAATCGTATTCCATTCCACATTGATGCAAAAAAAGTATGAGTACTTGGTTTCGCTTTCACAGAAAAACATTTTAAAGAGCCCTTAAAAACTTTGCGCATGCAAGATTGTGCCGTGGTTGTTGTGCACCCAGGCTGTTGCGATTTTTATCGTCATCTAAATGCAATCCTCACGCAGTGCCATCCACGTTCACTTGTTTACTACGTGGATATTCATTTTTCCACTGCCATTTGTGAAGCCTCGGTGGCAATCAGTAAGGCGTGATAACACTGTAATACGTTGAACTCTTCGTTTCGGTTTTGCGGACACTTACTTCTCCGCGAGTGTACTCCTGCTGGGCGGCATAGCCTCCGGGCCATACCAGTAGCTCTGCGATCCTTCTCTACGTCTGCGATGCATGCTCCGCTCTGGTACTATGACTTCCTTCGTCTTTAGGAAAGCTTTGGGCACTACAGACACCATGCTTAAAACCAATATAAGTTGGTGGGCGATGGGAATGATGTAACAGAGCCTTAGTGATTATGCTCCGCCAAACAATCTTGATACTTGGGTGGCAAAAATCGCAGATGAGGAATGGAACGGTTTTTTTCGCACTTAAACTAACGCAGCTTTGTACTTGGTGATTTTTATTAGCCTTTAGTGAAGTTGTTAGATGCACTAAGTGACTTCATTGACTGGAGTGGACTCGATTCCCTATGCCCTTTCTGAAGCGCTGCTAAGAGCGTACTTTTTGCAGCCCTCTTAATATGGACTCTCCGTGTAACGCAACACTTAAACAATGGACCTGTGTTTTGCGTTTCATATTGGCGTGCTATTCACGCGAATTACTTCTCGAAAGTAAAAATTTTGCAACACCTTAATTACTAGGTTTACATTGATCCATCGCATACACGCTCATCCCCACGGACTGATCCATGTTTCATCCTTCATGCATGCAAGCACCATCGCCACTGCTGTCTGCCATGCCTGGTTAGCGGTGTCTGCTCGATCCTTCTTATGGCTGTAAAACCAAGGCTTGATTTGGCTTGGTTTAGCCTGAGTCGGGTATTTAGTGAACTCTCCTTTTTAAAGTTACACAAAAGATTAATTTTGTTTGCTTCTAAAACCATCCCTGACAGCGGCTACACTTTAACCATCATTTTACAACCATCCAGATGCAGTTCGTTCAAGATAGAACACAATGAATTGAATTACAGCTGTATACTCTTGAAAAATTAGAACTGTGCGAAATATTTTATGGGTTGTAATTTGGCTGCTACCTTCACACCCTGAGACGGCCAATTGTATCCATGCCTCAACAGTTTACTTCCGAGAAATGAAAGACAGGTGCCTATACCGTGTGATTTCGGCTTTTTGGTAGCAGTGGATGAAATTTTTACCCGATTGCCTTTCCTGTGCATAAATTAGTGTGTTGAGTGTGGGTTTTGGGGGTGCAGGTTTATCCCGCGTCCGTGCGCCACTTCAGACGTGTGGTGTGAAACGCCAGTCAACAAATTAATGAGTTGACAATTAGTTGCGGAGTCAGGTAGAAGTGTTAAAATCCTTGCTAATTCTCATTGAGACGTAGTTTTCACGGTTTATTTATGTCACCCTTTACGCATCACCACTCTGACCTTGTATAATTAGTGAGTTCATTTTAGTGTAAAATAAACCGAGACGCCTGTTTCTTTAGTAGAAACTCGCGGTAACCGTCTGAAAGGCCTAAACCATATGATAGGACTTATATTTTGATATTAATTAATCGCTTAGGGGAGTTATGGGAGTGATCGGGGGGAGGGGGGTCAAGTGGCATTACACTAGAATTTTCTGTCATGGCGAGGACTGCATCGTCTTAGCTCAACCTGTCATCGCTACGAACTCTTCCGAACAAACACTATCTTAGAGGGTAACCTCAAAGTTTCATTCAGAATTTTAAAGATCCCCGATCTATCAATCTTAAGACAACCCCATTATTTTGCTCATGCGATCCTGCTTATGTATTTGGTTGGACTTATTCCTTGCCGGACTTGGTAAATAAAGTCAAATCCCCTCTAACGCTTTTCTCAATAGATGTCACGAATTCCTCCCGCTTAGCTTGAGGGCACTGAACAGTCGTCTTTGCTTACGGCGATTGCTATATTAAGTTTCGGCTGCCTAATTAGATCTTGATGTTCTTACTCCTCTTTGTTTGTCAACTTTGCTCTCAAGTATATCTACTTCGCGCATCACCACGTTTACCGTTCACTTTAATGCTCAACAAATCGTTTGCCATCCTCTCCATAGAAGACACTCCAGTTTAAGATTTCAGCGGTGACTTGAGCAGGTAAATCATCATAATATCCTAACATCGTACGTTTGAGCATCTCTCCGTTGTTCAAGGTGATGGTGAGAGTGGTGTTGGGACTATGCGTCTGTCGGCCGTGGCGAGGCTTCATCACTTCACTCTCAGGTTGGGTTAGGATAGATTCCTCAGTGAAGATTTAAAACCCTTTATTTGGGTTGCGCAAAGAATTCACTAGTCATTAATTTCAAAGAACCCTCTCTCACCAATTTCATTGGAATGAAAGATTGCACTCCTGTCGACTTTATTTCTGTCTCCTTTTTGTGGTTTTTCCTTCTCTACAAATAGTATTCACCCTGCTTTGTGTGAATATCGCGCTTCCACTAGATTTCAAGTACTCTTGATTATTTTATACACTTGTCTTCTTTTTATAGCAGCTTTATTGGAGGTACCCACCCCATTCCTGACGTTGCATCCGAATCATGTCGCTACTAACATCAAATTCGCTTGGTATTTACTCGCTTTTACTAAAATCTCGGTCTCCTCCTTTATTTTACTAACCAACGGTTTAGTTTAAATCTTTTCTGCGGATCCGGTATCGTCTGTCGGGATGGAGTCCTTCGAACAGCCAAACGTGTGCTAGTTAACCACATTCTCGCTTTTAAAACACTGTTCGTCAACGCTCCGAACCACATGAGCTGCATTGGTTCACAATGTCAACACGTTTCACTGGGTTCCTCCAAAAAGATTATGGGAAGAATAATAGCCTTGAACCAAACGATGCTATAAGAACGGGGACTCTACCAGCTATTTTTTAAACTAGGCAAATAGAGAACTATAAGAAGCCTCGGTATGATCGAATCTTTAAAAAGTCAGTTGTTTCATGCTTAAAATATGGAAAGTTTTTTTTGTCATTGTTAACACTGATGAAATAATTTTGCTTATCTTGTTTTGCCGTCATGGGGCATTCACTTATTATCACTTGTTCAAAATGACATTGGTTTTGGAGCTAGTCGTTTTATTGGTTTTTAATTGTCATTGTAGATATTTTCCAACCTCCATATCCTAAGGCATCAAGTAGCTGGGGCCACTTAGCATTTGCTTTGGGTCCCGTAGGCACTTAAGGCTCCGTGATTGTACTTCCACCGGGTGGCATGGCCTCCAAGTTATGCCAGTAGTCTCTTATTCCTTCTATTCGTCGGTAATGCATATTCTACCCTAGTATTATATCTACTTAGCCTAACCTATTTGTCATGTCCAATCGGTGTCCAAGTTACTTCTAAATGCGTTGCAACGCATACAAGTCTGCAAGTGGCTTTATGCTTAAAAGGGAGGGGCAGGATGGACATTACGAGCAGGGTTTCTCATTTCATTGCCGCAGTGGATTAAGTTGCAGGAAACTCAAGAAGCCAATGCCTTTATATGAAGAAGCTGTGTTATACATTACTCTCGTAGTAAAGTATCATCTCTATAAAAACGGTACTAATCTAGACGATCTTATTGCAAGCTAGTTTATCATGATCATTCATCTGTATTTATCTCTAATCCTGCTAAGTACATTTTGTGACCCACACGGCATTGTTTCCACTGGGATATTTTTTTTCAGCTTGCGAGCTAGCTTGTATTAAGTGATTGATCTTTGCTTCGCGTTCATCCACTTCAATCTTCCAACTCCTTCACGATGGTCGTGGCTGATTTCTCTGAAGTCATTCGTGCCATAGTGCCTATGCAAACCCTAAAGACGTTATAAAGCCCACGGGCTTTGAAGTAGCTAACAGTTAAGAGAAGTAGGTAATATGATCAGCCTTCAAGCCGTTATTGCAGAGGCTACATCACGTAAGACTGCAATGGTGAGCCTTATCGTAGGGATTCACTTCCTATGTACTAATGAAGGCTTGATGATGCTACAGTATTTTAAAATAGTGATTTAATAGTGTGTGCAATATGAAGTAAAATTTCTGAGCTAAATTGTATAATTATTCCTCCCCTCCACTTATTTGTCATTTCAGTGCCCTTCAGTTGCCTGAGTTAGTCTCAGCTTCTGGAATGAGGATTGTATCCCATATTTTTATCTGGGTGTTATTGGAACGCCCTTTATTCAGTCATATCTGGTCTCATTTCATTACTGGCTGTTCTGCAGAACTTCCATTTGGGGTTCAACGATCTGAACACATTGTAAGGTATCCGAGTTTGGCCGTACCTTTGCTTTGAGCGTGTAGAGGGGTCAAGAGATTGGCTGACTGTGGAGCGGCCGTCTAATTCCGCGATACTGAAGAGGTCCGTAAAAAAGCATTTAAAATTGAGGTCACTTTGTTACAACCCTCGACTGGCATCCTCTAAACCTTCCCAAAATCTGATATTTATTACCAGTGTGGCGACGCAATGACTGGTATTCGCATTATCTGTATGTATGAATGGGAATTCTCCAACATGCGGACTCTTATCATGCTCTTCAACTTTAGGCTTGTCATTGGGAGTTGTCCAGCCGAATGCCGGCATAGTAGTGGGAGAAGGGGAGCGTTGGTTGCAGGAGAAGTACATTCCCCTGGTCTCACGCATCGTTGGTCGGGTGAAGCAAATCCTCTACTCCTCGCACCTTCTTACCGGACCCCTGTGGGATAACCTGCTAGAGTTCTGTCTGGCCGTCTGTTACGCCGTCCTTGCTCTGCCTCCGCAGATCGAGTGTTCTGCTATCACGAGTTCGCGACTCTCCGCCCTGGTAACTGTCTTGCCTGGCTGAGTTTTGAAATGAAGTGGTAAAGTTGGCGTGATTTTTGTGTGATTTTCATGGTAGAATTTGTCCTTTGTGGATAGCTTAACACGAACCATCCACCATCATTGTTGCATTCTTCCTCTTAGGAGTGACGTTTGTTTTTTTGCTATTCATTTGGAATTGCTCCGTGTTCTCTGTGAAGCAGCTACCTTGGTTGTATGATACTGGATCCCAAAGATGCAGTTTGTCTACCTCTTAGGCAAACAATACTTCATGGGCATTGTGGTTGTGACTCTCGTGGTGCTTGTTTAATACCTCGGGGTGGAACAGCAGATCTTTATGAGGATGGGACTAGTATGAGTTTTCATCCTTAGAACAGAGTTGATATCATATTTAATTACCGCAGTCTATTGTGCAGCTGTATAAGCATTGCTTTCCTATGTTGATTTACTTTCATTGCTAGAAGTAAGCTCAGATGAAGTGCGTGAAACTATGTCTTGAGATTGTGAAGCTCAAACCGCCGCCCGGACTAATGTCACACCACTTATTTAATGTCTCTTCCAACACACTTCATTCGCTTTTTATCATTACACTACTCTTCCAACGTGTTGTTCCATTGCAAGTGTTAGCATTACAACTTTGAATAATTTGCTTTCCCTAACCCATTGAGAAAATTAACTTCACAAAAATCCACAACGGTTTTAAAGCAGTATTTGCGTGGTTTTGGAGATTTCTTGACACCTTCACTGTTCTACTTGTCGCTTTTAAATCAGCTTGTCAAATACAATGCCAAAACCTATTATTTACATATTTGCAGGTCATTTGGTGACCTGACCTCAAGGCGTGTCTGACGTGAGTTTTAGCTTCCATCGTACCCAGTTTGTTAATGATTGCAGTTTATTTTTGCTAAGTTAGTTTTTACCAATTTGAAGTGCAAATTAGCACTACTTAGTTTGGTCATGCCCAAGGTGGAACAAATTATGATTCTGCTTACGAGCAAGTAAATGGCTTGAATACCGGTGCTCCACTCCTTGAAATGTGTTGTAGCGCTTTAGTCAGCTTTGAAGGGTTGACAGAGTAGTTGCATATGTACCATAGGCGTGCTGCCGCGGTAGAGGTCGATTCACGGGAAACAGAAGAGGTCCGTGCAGTAGTATACGTAATCAAGGCCGAAGTCATTCTGATTGTTTTTTCCATTTAAACCCCTTGTTGCGAGACCTGTATACCTTAATCAGAAGCTGATAGGGCTTCACAAATGATACCGAAATTGGAGATTCCATTTTTTTCTGCCATTTTAAACATGAAGAGGGTATTACCAATCATGATTTGCGCCTACCCAGACTACCAACACAAACCATCCACTATGGGACTGTGTTAACTCATCTCGATTTCTTTTTCGCTGTAGTCATTCGACAGGGTTTCTTGAAGCCTTAGTGCATAATGTTGTTAGTGCGCCGCTAATTCGTTGATTTTAATGTGGAACATTTGTTAGGTTTCGTGTTGTGTTTTTACATACTCTTCCCTAAATATACTGTCAAGTTAAATTATCATATTGGGTTCACCCCTATTTTAGCCCCCTGGGGTCCGTGTAATGCTTCAGCTGGAGTGCCTGGTAGCTGGTTTGCTCAATAGAGTATGGATACGTGCCCTTAGTCAGCACTACCCTTCCCCAGCCTACTGGCAAGGTCTGCAGGAGCTCTGTCACGTCTCAAGGCATCGAATTGGTCTGAGTTACATCTGGTCTCGCATGTTGGTCGTCTCTACCTGCAATCTAATTCGTTCTCAGGGTGTCATCGAGCTCTCCTGCCCTGTAGGGGCTCTCGAGGATGGCACTGTGACAACCACCACAACTAGCGCTTGCCCACTCAATCTTCCACCCCTCTCCGGTAGGTCAGATTTCCTGTAATTGTAGATTCACTCCCCTTCCACTAAACATCCGTTTCGTCTTTTTTCTTAGCCTTTGAACCCCTGCTGAGCCCCAAATTTATGGTAGAAGTTTCGAAAGAAGTTGCTGACATCTCCTGGTTCCGGCTACTTCATCTTTTTGGCAATCCTGTGGATCTATGCCATCCTGCTGAGATCACACACACTGCTGTGTTTGAGTGCTTCCGGTAAGAAATGGATTGGTTTCGTTTTCCTTCAAGGTAGTAGCTTTTGTTGCAGGGTTCAAGCGATTAACCTGCATTGCCCAAGGGTAAAAGAAAAAATCATACGCTCATAACGTGGTATTTTTTTAAGTCAATTATTTCCGACTATTAATAATGAATGTGCCTAGTTTACCTTATGAATAGAGGACTATAAGAGACATCTATAAACCTAATGACGTTCCTTTAAAAATGTCCCTTTGCATCCATTCTTTCAGGCGCTCAAACGCTGCTGCGCGTTGCCGTCTGACAGCGGTTTTTCTGCCTGGCATTTTCCACAATGTGATGCGGAGCCTGTCAACAACCGTGGATCTCTTTCTGGGCATTGCGCCCTCCCTTTCCGGCTGTCTCTCCACCTTCATTGGGGTGCCGCCAAGCCTCTACGGGCCCCTTGTCGATATACCCGTGTACTTCCACTACGCCTCAGTACGCTCGCCTGACGTCAACTTTCTTAGTAGGTCTCCCATTGTTGCCTTTTTTGTCCCAGTTGATCGAACGTTTGTATAGGGTTTGGCTTATTTCTTTGTCCATTTGGACGTGAATCACGGATGCTTCAGGTTACTCCCGTCCATTTTCTCGACACTTTCTTGATGGGAAACACTTAGTGGGAAGTCAGGCCTTGTTACGAGCCAAATTATTACACTTCAAAGGGAAACGTTGGTCTGTTTCATAGCTACTTTAGTACCAGTACACCTTCGTCCACTGCCCTGATGCAGTCTTCTTCAATGGAAGCCCTTCTGTTCTCTTTAATCCAAGCGGGTCGCACCTGTGTGTATGTGTGTCTGATCATAAAGCTATATTTCTTTAAGTTGCTAATTCATTTGGGCACTTTGGTCGGATTCATGGCTACCACTCGTCTGTTGCTGCCCTTTCCTGCAGGAGACACTTTTTCTTGACGATCTGCTTAAATTGAACGTGTAGGTTGCTTTTGTACTGGGTTATCCTTGCTACTTTCTCAAGGTGTTTGAAGATAAGCAAGCGAAACTCCTGGCAATTCCCTTCCGATCCCAAATGTTATCCACATTTGCTACGAGAAGTGGACGCTTCGATTTGAGTCACAGTGGAAGATACTCCTCCCAATCTGTATTCGCGATTTCACCCATTTTGTTTTGTCTTTTCTGTTTATTTTTAGAAGATTCACTCATTCTTGGTTTGGTTGGATGGTGTTCCGACTTATTTCCACTCAAAAAATTCTTCTTATAAGCGCATTCTGGTAGCAAGTGAATTCTAAAACACTAAAAAGACTTGGATTTTGTGATACATAACAAGTGATGGTTATTTTGTAGCAATATAGAAACAAGTGTGTTGTAAATGTTGCATTTTTGAACACAGTATCACGTAAAATTCCAAGCACATCCGCCTTGCGCAAGTCGCGGACGTTTTCGGGGGTTTGATCCGACCCCCAGGTGGTGGTGTGAAGATCCGCTCTTGCGGCCCACGGCGCTAGCTCTTCTTCCCTTCCAAAGATCTATCCCCTTCAAGGGTAATTTTGGTGGTACAATGTACACTCAAACAACTATTTATCATCTGTTGCGTAATTCTTGCCTGTTTTCTCGCATTATCTTATGGACTGCCACCCACAATCAAATTTTGATTTACGATCTCCCGAAGCTGAATTCGTGTTACTGTTAATCACCTTGTTCCATCAAACAAGATTTGGACATTTTCTCTTATGTTGTCATCCTCATCCCACATTGTGATCCCTCCATATTTATCTGATCATCTAAAGAACGCGGTTGCTCTTAGTTAATCGCATGCCTACTTTTTTTCCGATGAGGTGGCACTTGTGCTGCTGCAATCCCTTTTTCGTGCCAATTTCAGCTACATCAGTGGTGCGACACTTCTATGGAAAGTAATTACACGCTGGCGGACTCCATCACTCAAACTCATTAAGTTTGGCATCATTATTTCCACCAAATCATTTAATTTTTTCGTTCTTATATGGGATAATCACTTTCTTGTCTTCAGTTTAATCTTATGTTGATTCAGCGCTATCGTCAATTTCATTCCTTCACCACATACACCTTTTTATTTCATTGGCCTAGCGTTGGCCGTTAGATCATCGGACCTACGTAAATTGGAGCAATATACCTACACCCATTCATAATCTTCTATCAGCGCTGGTGAATGAATCACAACATCCACTGAAAGCCCTTACTCGGTTGCCTTTTTCTTGTCTTCAAAGATAAACAACAGGGCAGCGGTGACTTGTCAGGCTCCACGGATCCCTCCTCACCGGACGGTTCGGGGCAGACGGGCGCACACTTCTCCTCCTCCCTCGTCAACCCTCAGGCCTTAGCCGAGGCTTGGCTCCAGCCCAACTTTCTAGTGACCTGTTTCTACAACCGGCCCCATGTCGCATCCCTCTTACGGCTTCTGGGACCCTGGCTCTTTGAGGCTGCTGTGGGACGCGGCAAAGAAGGTGCACAACTAGCACTCCTGGAGATTTCGTGTTTTTTGTTTGCTTGTATTTAGAGAAATCAAGCTCCACTTCTCTTCCCAATGTTAGTGTTAAAGTTATTCGCCACTGTAATCGTAATGCAACGGCATCAGGTTTATTTTATTGCTTGGAGAAAGACACCCTGCCTTTTCCTTCCTTATTGACTTTGGTACTACTTGAAACAGCGTTTAAATTCGTATTTTAGACCAGCTTAAAGATTATGATGAACTTGATATCATTTTTGCGGTTGAGTTAAAATTAACTAATCTTCTGGCTGGTGTAGCTGCTTGCTATTGTGCTTAGTTTGTTTTGTTCACTCAAAGTTATCTTTTTGCCTTCTCTATTTCAAAGTGGTGCGCAAATCACGACAATCCCAACTTATTTGTTTGTTCATTCGTTTTCTTTTTCTGCATCCGAAACTGACCAATGATTTCGGTGTTTTGGAGATAGTGCCGATCTTTATCTGCTACTTTAATCAACTCAAAGAGGCCACCAAGGCTGTTGGTGTAATTAGAAATGCCTCTCCCTCTAGAACGCGCTTATGCTTGGTTTTTTCTGCCTATCTAAGTTGAATTTGAGGCTGTTTGGGTGACATTAAGTTAGAAATTATGGGGATCTTCAGTTTCATTATGCAAATCAACAGAGCTGCCATAGCTGCTAGTGGAGTTGCCTACCTCCGTAATCAAAACACAAAATTTTCTGATGGGTTTTTAATCTTTTGCCGTTTAAAATAGAATTTGATGTGATTTTGTGAAGTCTAAATTCACTTTCTTGCTTCAGACATTACTGTAGTTGCTTCCGGTAAGTAGAGTGCGTGTCTTATGCTTTTCTGTTTATTTATTTGTAGTCATTGGTGTTGCTTTTGTAGTTGCGTGACGCTGCGTTGAAATCACAAAGCAGTCTAGGTCACTTCGTGTCTTCTAAGGGCATGCCGTTCTTTTTCCCCTGTCGTGCACCTCGGCTGGTTATTTTCCTCGCTGTTTGAAAAGGCACGGTATTTGTGGAAGCAGGCTGTATTCAGGTGTTTTATAATTCCCATGAATTTTGGGTTATACCATAGCTGTACTCGCGAGAGTACTTTATGCATATTTGATCTATTTTATGACCACCTCTAATTACTTGTTGCATTGCCAAGTAGTGTTCTAGCGCCCCGAGAATTCACTGAAGACGAAAGGAGACAACACTGGGACAGTTCATTCATTGCCGGCGTGAAAAAGGGCTGCGAAGCTGCTGGCATGGCCCGAAAGCCATGCCGCCCAGCAGCAGTACAGAACCGGAGCCTTAAGTGCCATCGAAACCAAAGTGATGAGTTAAACAAATAATTGAGGCATTGCATAGCCCCTCTCTCCATTTGGGTGTCGTCCTCGGCGCTCTTCTTGGCCAACCTCCCACGTCAGTCATCACAGCGAAGTCCGTGTTGTAATGTAAAGCATTCACAAAGCAACCGCGTGCTTTTGGCGATTCCACTGGACCTCTAGTCCCGTCCTGTTCAAAAACTGTATCAGGGGAAGGGGTTATGTGCTGGACAGCACATATGTCCATAGCCAGTCGTAAGAACAACAACCTAAACTTAGAGTCATTTAACAAAGGATGGGATGTAAAGTAGTTTCGCAGGGATAGGATATCGCACTTACGCCTCCTTACCAATCTGTTCTCACTTCACTGGTGCCCAGCCATATCTGTCCAGCTGGATTCTGTTTAGCTGGTATTGAGGTGAAGGAGGTATCGCCTTTTCACTTAGGTTACATCTTCATGCAGGTACCGTAGACGGATGGCTCACGGCTACGGTTGGTGTTGCTTTACTTGTTTATGGCATTCTTGTTGAACACGGGACTGCGTAGCTGTCGAAGGTAGATGTCATTTTCAACTCTTCCGTTAGGGTTCGTCACAGGTTCTCCTGTCCGCAGTGTATGACTTCCTTCTGCTACATTAGGGTTTTCTGTTCAGTTATAAAATCAGGGTAGACATCCTTTATAATCGGGTCAACTTTCTGCTGCTACCAACTCAGCTCTCCGAGACTTCCCTGAATGCGAAGGAAGAAATAATACTCAAGCAGAATATGTGCTGCGGACGTAGTGGAGGACTAAGGGCTACTGGTATGATCCAAAGGCCATATCGTTTAGTGAAAATTCGAAGTGCCCTTGAAACAGAATTGAAGAGTTAGGCAACTAGTCAAACCATTACAACTGGGTCTGTTGTTGAAAGTACCGTTTATTTCCTCTACTGTGTTTATGCAAATGAGTTCTTGTGTCGAGGAGCAAATATGCCCATTTTGCAAATTGGTCACACTTCACCAAAACTACTTAGTAGTAGCGATGACATTTTCAGTGAGCTCAAACAATGCAGCTCTGTGAACTCATAGTGGAGGCGTTGTGAAATTACGCTCACTCATCATTCTCCTTGCATAGTTGTTATGCTTCGTGAAGAAGGATTCATGCTTAAGACGACAATGATTTTGATTATTGATGGCCGCTTTCTCATTATCTTTCTGTTGAATCTGTTTTCTAATGGTGCCAATGCCCCAGCCGATATGAATGTAGGCAAATTCATTCAAGTTTCGTCTCCGATCAATTACCCATTTCACTGGATTCTTTACTTCAGTTTTTTTCCTGTATGGTGGAAATAATAATCAGTGGAGCTTTTTCGCCCGATGTTTTTCACAAGGCTGTTCTTTTCAATAATTTTTTGAACGTAATCCCAGCTACCTTTCAAGTTGTCTGGGAAAGCTGAAGGCCATTGGTAAATTTTCTCCGAGCAACACAACTTATGCCTTATTCTGGTAAAATTGGACCAAATTCAGACTATTAATTCGTTTACTTAGATCGTAGATTCTAGGAGGACAACTTTTATTTCCAGTGAATCGAATTCATTTTCCTTTGGTGTATGGGAGAGCCCAATGGGCTCTCTTACCCCATTAAATGATGCAAATACGCCTACCTATTCATTATAAGTAGCCATTTTTATCAGCTTTTTGTTTTAGGTACGATTGTCAGTGAGCGCTCACTGATGGTGGACAACACCAGTTTCCTCGTGGGTCGTGCCGAGGCTATGGCCTGCCTCTGTCGCATTTTCATATACGCCCGAAAAACACAAATTGCGCCTGAACTCCTCGCCCGCTTCTACGTCTGCCTCGTCAGGGCTCTCGATCCCGTGAGTCCATTCCCAGAAGTGGGTTTTTCTGAGTTTTCGCATTAAGCCTGAGTGGATGGATTGTAAGTAAATTTTGATGTTATTTTATGAGTAAATTGTTTAAACGGACGTTGTAGAAAATGTGTGTAGATTTTTCATTCGTTTAATTTTGACATTGCAGCAATTTTAAACCTCTTTTTGAACTCACTCTGCAGTTTCTGTTTGTATTTTGGCAACTTATTTCCAAAAAACTTTCTTATTTTTTTCGTTGAAATTAGAATAAACAATGAAATATTGTTAATATGACCTTTATTTCCGTTCATTACTTCAACAAGTAAATTATATGTTTTAAAACAAAGTGTTTTTCACCAGGCTCTGTGTGATCATCTGATAGTCCGCTAAGTCGTGGTGAATTATTCCTTAAAATGTACCATCCTTACCTAAAGAAACTTGATTCTGCTGCAAATTTTACTTGTCGTAAAAGTTTCATCTTTTGAGCCAGGAAACCTGGCCCCAATCGCCTCTTTTCCTGTCTCACTTTTATCTCCTATCTGCTTGTGTTTCCATGCGATTGTCTAATGCCAAGGTAAATATCAGAGGACTACGAAAAATGAGTATGAGTTCGCATTTTCTACCCCATCTTAAAATGTATATCTTCTCATTGTCAAATTTCTTCCAAGACTAGGTCTTGCGTTGTCTTCAGTAGACAGGACCTTCTTCCGACTCAATGGTCAATCATAGCTCTCTTTTTCTTGAGCACATTCGAGCTTTATCTAGTAGGTGAAACGCGACTGCAGGCGTGGTCTTCTGAGATTGAAATGGTGGATGCCTTTAGAGGTTAGACAACCGCTTAGAGATATGTCTGTTCGCCTGGTGTTTGGATACAAAAACCGTTTCTAATAATTCACCCAGTCGGAAAATCGTGAAGTTTCAAACGATAGCCTCTTCATTTTATTGTCTCCACTTTATGCATGTCATTTGCGTGGTCCTCATTTGCCCAACTTCTGCAACTTTCCCAGTTGATATTGTAGTTGTAAATGAACTGTTTCATTACTCACGTCAGACATTACTGATTGCTCTCGATGCATTAATTTTGAATTAGGGCGGCAATCGTAAATAATGTGTGACGATTCTCCTAAATGAAACGCATTTTTAAACCGCTCCTGAGCACTATATCTTACTACCGTATACGGCACCTGCAAATGCTATGCCGAAAAGTCTACAAAAAACTTCTATAGGTTTCGAATTGAGTTAAACCCGAATCACGACCGTTGTGTTCAGTCGACCTTTTGGATAATTTTTGACATGAAATTAGTACTGAATGCACTAAAGGGTCCTGTGCCGCTGGATTGAAGCTTATCCATTCATTTTAATGTATCCATATGACCCATTGCGTGTATTTCCCAAGTTTCTACAAAGTACAAGTCACTAGATCGAGCCATGCCGAAAACCGCATAAACTTTTTCGGTTATCTGATAAACAAGACAGGTTTAGTTGGACAAGCGTTCAAGGCTTTTATTCCTCAACTTGGTTATCAGTCTATGAATCGTTCCAAGTTTGAAAAGTTTACCACCCGACCCTTATTGTTCCCGTCATCTAGCTGTATGTTCATCGCTATCAGATGAGGATACGACTGGTTTGCATTTGCCTAAAAGCCACCTGCATAGGACTTTTGACCAAGAGCGCATTGTACTCAAAATACTAACCAATCCGCCCTCTCGATCTCTAAGCCAAGGAGGGATTTTGTCCCTTGACCTACTCGCTTCAACAAACCACACCTTTGCTCCAACACACAATTGTTTCACTTACAAGAAAAATAATTCTTTATAAGAAGTTGCAGTAGTCGTGGGGTGTTTCAGTATCTGACAAAAACGGCGGTGATTTGGTTGCTCTAACCCTCTCTCACACCCTACCAACAACGCGTAAAGACAGCCATACATGCTATCCTCTTTTTGATCGCCATGGCGACCAAGCAGCCAATACGCGGGTTGCTTGGGGTGTGCCGCACTGTTTGCGCCTCTTATGGCTAGTCGTTGCCCTTGCTACTGCTCTGGTTGTTGTTTTTGTTGCCACCGCTTCCACGGCCGCTCTTAGTGTCATTCATATATTTTTGTGCTTAAACGTGTCTGTTTGACCGTTTGTACCTCCGCAGGAGGTGGAATACGTTCTCTCTACGGTCCTTTTCCACGCACCTGACCTGTTGCGTGCTGACCTCACTGCCTGCTTCTCCTCGGTCGCGCCCGCTCTCTTCAACGCCGCTCAGTTAGTGCTTCGAAAACCGTCAGTTATGTAAGTCTCCAGTCCCGCTCTACCTTCACATTTACAAGGCTCCTGCTTGCCGTGATTCAATGTGAAGTGTTTCCCCCTGGTATCTCTTCTGATACATGAATACCTAAACTAGGAGTGTCTTGTGTTCAACCCCATTTTCTTAAATCGAGTAATTTTTAACATCCCTTCAACCAAATTAGCATATGGGTAGTTGATTCCACGGTTCTCATCGATACCAGTGTAGTAAAATTCATACGATTCCCTCCCTGTTTGAGCGATCGGCAGCTTGATTAAGAAGGTGATAGTACCTTATTTTATATTTACCCATCTTGTGGGCTGATCTTGCTGGTTTTTTATTCTTCATGAATATCGCTTTTTCTTATATGTGTACAATCGGGCAACTCTCCATCGACGGGGAGGGTTGGATTTTTCTGATTCTGAGTTCTGGCCACCTAGACGAGGGATTTGGCGCTAATTTATTATTGACAATTCAGGTGACAACAATGTTCCTCTTTCCCTTGATGCTATTAGGTGTCTTTGTTTCAGATTTGAGCTGTTTCTTGCCGATTTCTCGTTGCTTGGTTTCATTATTAAAACATACACTTCCCTTCTCTGAAGTATGCTTTGATTCGCTTCCACGATCATGATGGGTAAAGAGGTTGCGTTGAAGTCGTCCCCCTCTCTACACTATCAGCCGCCTCGAGTATTTGATTGGAGGTGAATTCCTTCTTCCTGACCTCAGATTCGACTGCTCTCCATAGGCGAAGTTGAATATGCTAGCGTTATTGGAGATCGGGAACCTAGTTTAAAGATGTCTTAATATTTAGGAGTGTTGTTTTTTGTTGCTCTAGTTTTCAAAAAACTGTCCACTTTCCAAGGTAGATGTACCCTCTTATTGGAACGTCTTCTAGCAACTCCTTTCCATTCATCCGATCTTCTTTCCCCCACCGGTTGAGAGTGTCTTCTTATCACCCGAGTTCTTGTATTCGCCCCAATTACTGCTCCGTTTGTGTTCTTTATCAAGTTTCTCTTCTTTAACTCGTGAAAAGGACAATCCCCTTGTGATTAACCGTTTCGATTTAACTCGTGACCAATCACAAATTCGGGTATGCTCACAACTTCACGTTTCTCCTTTAAAACTATTCAGTTGTCCAACTTTTGTTCCACTTAGAAATATTATCGCTCCACTTCTAGTAAGTGTTCTCTGTACGCATCTAGACTCTCCGAGGTTGTAACAGGTAATGTTTTTCGCTTATCTCCAACTCACGAGGCTCATAACTTGGTACTTAGTTGAACTTTGATGCCTACCTTCTTGTATCTACAATTTTCAGCATTTTAGGTAAAAATTAGTTGCGACAGCTTTGTTTTTACACATGAGCTCCTGAAAACAACTGTGACATGGATAATTTAACAGGGTACATCAGTTTTAATGAATTTTAAAACACTGGAACTAGATTTCACCAGGTTAGTTTACCACCTTTAGTGGCATTTCTGAAAGTTTCCAACCTTCCTTCGTCATTTCATGCGGTGTAGATATCATTATCCAACATGAACTTCTCAATTAATCACTTCCATTTTTAGTCGACTTTACATTCGTATTTCCCAGCGTTTCTGGTTTAGGTTTGATTAAACCTCGTGGGAGTTACGATTAAAACTTGACTTTTTTATTTCTGTTCCCACGCAAAAATGTGTACAAGACCGTTGCCTATACTTCAGGTGAATTTTGATTTCAATCCCTTTTGGAGTGGAACTAGGTCACACACCAAATCCCCCTAGTCTTGGCCTCATGGGGTTAATTGCAAGTTGAATTGTAATAATGTTGTCGAAGGGTCCGTCACTCTACTACCAGCGGCACGGGAAATTCCCCAATCTAATTTCCAACACACTGTAATTGAAGTTATTGGAGGGAATCTTCCTTGCACCTCCATGTGATTCCCGTCGTACTTGACTTTGGACGTAGCTAGTACAGTACTATTTGTTTTACAAATCTCCCCCATTAAAAACCCATTAATGCTTGCTTAATCAACCGTTCCTTATGTTAAAAAGCATTGGAAATGGAAACTATGACTCTATCATAAAATTTCACGCCATTTCATAGGTACCTTAGTCACTTGATTGATGGCATCGCACCTCATTTCAGGTTACGACAAGTTGACATAAGTCAATGCTTTATCATCATTTCTTTCTTTTTCTTCGTATTAACCATTTATTTGTTGCATTCAATTTGGGGTTACTTTCATTTTGAGTCCTACCTAGTGTCAGTGGGTTAGCACCTCCCACCCTCATAGTTTTTCCTCAGACATTTTGCTATACTGCTTATTCCCGATTCAGTTGCCCGGAGTACATCTCGATGGTTCTGCTACGACGAGCCAGCTTGCACCAGCTGCTTTCAATGGTGTGCTTGACCAACCAGTTCGATGGCATCCAATTTCAAGGTGAGTTTCTCCTCAGTTCTACGTAATTTTTTTCGTACCAACCTTTAAAGTGATGGCACCCTACAGGTGTTTGACTGAGAGATTTAATTTCTATAATGTTTTTGCTATAGTGTTTTGTGTTAGAAGGATAAATATACCACCTTGCTATAAAAAGGACTCCTTTTAGTAGGTCAAGGTGTATCACAATCTTACTAACCTTCTAACACTGTGGTGAATCGGGCGTAATCTCCCTCCTGTTTCTTGCTGAGGTATAACTCTTTCTTAATATAAGTTAGCGACCCGTATAGACTCCACCGGAAACGCGTGACGAAGTCCATTCAAGTAATGCACACCGGAAACGGATTTCGCCCTTAAACACAGAATACTGTTGGAAAACCGAGGTTAAGTTAAAAACAGTAAAACAGATGTAGACACTTCGTATTTAGGGGACAATTGCGTTGTTTTCTGAGGTTGTCGATTCGCCTCTGTGGCCCCAGTAGCGAATGTGCTAGTCTCTTGTTTCTTGTTGAGGTTCATTTGACTCGCCAATGTGAAATTTGACATGTATCTCGCCCGCAGGTGTTTACTTACTCTTGTCAAGTTGTTAGCTAAGCTCACTTCAACTGGTATGCTATTACGGATCCAAGTGATAAATGCGCCATGAATTGATCACGAAAACTGACAAGTTCATTAATTTGTGGTACTGCTATAATCTGAAGAGGTATGAGAAACGTGTGAGATCCACGATTCCAAAATCTTTTTACCTGAATTTCGCTATAATGCGACTGTGCATTTATTGGAATACGTTTTACTGTCATTTAGTGAAATCCTTTCTAAAATTTAAATAAATACAGAGCTGATGGAACTGTAAGGTTTTTGTAAGCAAGGGTTTTAATATCGCCTGATGTTCATATTTATCCACCCGTCGACTTCGTGCGCTTAGTAACCGTTTTTCAATCCTAACAGTGTAGCAGTAAGCAGTTACCAGTTTTCTCTTCTAGTTTAAACGAACCATTTTTGACACCTTGCGACTGTGTGATGTTGTATTTTTGGCAGAAATCTCCTCTCCCTCCTCCTCATCCTCCTCCTCCACCACAACTTCAGATTCGAGTGTTCTTACCACCCGAATACTGAGGATGAGACTGGCTAGTCTCCTGTGCGAGCTTCTCACCTACGAGACGGACACGCACAACCTTCGAATGCTTCTCAGTGCGTCAACAAAATTATTCAACAATAATTTCTCCTTAATCTCGTATTGTAGTGTAGTGAATATCGAGATCGTTACCTTATTTCTTTTAGTGGTAGCTCTTGTTCTGTTCCTGTGACTTAGTTACAGCACTATAATAGTAGAGACTATAAACTTGCAACTAAGTTTTAGCCCCTTGGTAACTCAACTTGTTGTTTCGTCCAGCAGGAGGAAGACAGCATAGGCGGAGGCATGAGCAGAGCTAGAAGTAGTGTTTGACTGTGTTAGAAATAAGTACTGATCGCAACTTATTTTGAGCCCTTAACTTTGAGTCCCCATTTGCTGGTTGGTAGATGTTTACACAGCATGGCACCACCATATCACAATGCCCTTATTTCCATTATTCTATAATTTGCGTTTGCCTTTTAGGCGCTGCCTATACCCTCGTCTTGAATATGATCTCAGTCGAACTCTCTGCGCCCGAGTCAAATTCGAAATCCGCTCCCAATAACGTCGACCCTCATCCCGGTGTTGGTAGGTTGACCTTCCCTCAATGCATTTCCCTTTTTCTTGTGTACCCATTTGTAATCAGTCGTTGCTACTCAGAGACAGCCTCAGGTCTGTACGCAGTGCTGTTGGAGAGGATTTGCGCCTCTCTACGACGGTGGGTAAACGACTTTGCTCTGTCTTCCTTCGCACTTGATATCCTCGGTGGATTGGCCAGTACTCATGTGCCTCAGCCCAGCTTGGCTCGTTGTAAGTCGCTTTCCGAGAGGCTATGTACACATCATCATACGTCCTATAATGTCCTTACCTCTGTGAGCCTGTAGTTTACCCTCTCCTATTATGGGACATTATTGAACCCAAGAGCATAATAGCTAATTCGGCTGTTTCCTTATTGTCACTTTATAGAATTCCACAACCTACAATTTTCATTTTATCAAGTTATTATGCCCGCACGCGAAAGTTTTCTACTTTGTGGGTCAAAAGTAACCATGATGTGTTGAATAAATTTTGGCTACTTCGGTAGATTAAAGAGGCGATTTGACTCTACGAGACCGTTTAAAAATACATTATTTATCTCCTAAAATACCGAGGTTAGGCAAGGTGCATTGTTTAATGCGTTTTGTTGGCTCCACGTTTTCTTTTTTACCGATAAATCTCTGCATTCCGGAATCCAGCTAAGTTATCATCTCTAAGTGGCAGTTAATTAGAACGCATTCCATGGTTTTTTAATGGCGTCTGAGAGTTTTTCACAAAACACTGGAATGAAAGGAATTTCTGTAGATACAATCACGATATTTGCAGTAACTTTTATTTAAAGTTAATTATTCGATTATGTTGTAGAGTTTTATAGTAACGGTTTAACAAAATTTATGTTGAAGTTCGTAAAACCTTCGCTACCAGCACAACCTTCCTGCCTATGTCTGATGTCACGGATATGTGACATGTATTCGTTATCGCTCTTTAATAACTGCCTCCACTAAATCGTGAAGCAAACAGCTTGGTTGCGTTTAAAGTCTAAGACCAGAATGGTGAGTGGGATCTGGGCGATTGGAATCAGTTCGAGGGGCTGACTTGCTATCCCCTTCTCACTTCCGTTTTCTGTACCCGTAGGTCGTCGATGCATCCAAAGCATCTGTGCTTTCATCGAATTTCAGTGCTGGCGTGAGAAAAAGGATCACACACGACTACTGCACAGTCTCATCATCAATGCCTTTCACTGTCTTGGAGGGTGGATAGTGGCTCATCCAAACACCCTTAACGATCAGGAGACCCTCCGTGCCGTCATTGAAACTACCAAATTAGGCATCTTCGGCGATGAGACAGTTCCACTGCCTCTGCCCGGCTCTAAGGTATGTCTTGGCGATTTTCCAGAGATTCCAGGACTCAAATACATTACGAGGTGTACAAGTGTATGAATATAAGTGTTTGGCATGAAAATTAGTTGGGGGATTGCTTGTAAGATCTCATGGTTTAGGGTAGCAGCGTAGTCCCACAAACCTGAACATGCAACGATGGTAGGATAAGAAATCAAACAGCAAATAAATTCAAGCTGAAAACTGCGGTTATTCGATTCGTTGCAGTTTTGGGCATGCATTTGGTTTATAAAAGCAAATAAAATATTTATAACCAAGTGGAGAAGCCAAACTTAGGGCGTAGCAGTAGCGATTGGAACTGTGGCAATGCAAGCGCCGGGTGGTAAATCAAGTTGGGGACCATGGAGCGCTGCGTCGTAATAAAGACCGCAATAATTTAGAAACGGTAGTAGAAAAATAAACCTATAAGGGAAGAAATGAAACAAAACTACGGGAATGGGGCTTCTAACCACTGTTCATCCAAAGGGTTGAGATCAGGCGAATCGAGGGATCGGATTCCTGAGTATGATGGTGTAGAAGTCTCTAGTAGTGTAGAGTATCCCCATCCCATGACGGGTTATGCGTCGCTCAGATGCCTCTGATTCGATGTTTTATGCCCTGAACCTTCACATTAATGGCTGTTGCAATGAGCTCGACGGGATATGTGATCGACGAACGTACAACTAACTGTTTTTGAGAGCTTTGCTCCATTCAAGCAAATATCTCACCGCAGAGTAGCTAAGCTTGATTTAAATCGTACTGTGCTTGAAGTCTTCCGTAAACATTGGATATCCAAGACTTTGACGCCCTCATTCAGAATAAACCCTATTTACCACTGTAATCCCACTGTTTGCCTGCCACCTTAATTAATGCTGTCCAGACTAGCATGTCCTGAAGACATTTTCACCGGCTGTTAGTACCCATAGTAGGATTCGTTTCCTTCTGTGTTTGCTACCGTCACTGTGGCATCTTTTACCGTACGCCAAAAATTTAGTCACTGCTTGGCTTGAATGTTTATTGTTGATATTGAATGTTAGAAAGGCACTTGCCTAAATACCGTCTTTCCAAGTGTGTTATCCTATTTCTGTAATGTCTTAAAAATTACTATATAGTCACTTTTTTGCCCTTTTCTCTCCGTCTTCCAATAGAGGGGTAGTTCTCTTGAGGGTCCTCCACTACCAACTGGCATGCCCTTCTCGAAACGCGTAAACGAGGCAGCGGAACAACTCTTGACTATCCTCTTCTCCACCGCTGGATCCTTCCCCCAGGCCGGCGGACCCGAGACCTTCTCCTGTCGCCTCAACGAGGAACGGGTCGCCCAGCTCTCAGCCACCTCCATTTCCACCTTTCAGCACTTTCTTGTCTCCTCGCCAGATACCTCTGCTTCCACTCCAACCGCCCCTGACCTCCTCCTGAGCATTGCGGAGACAATGAGGCCTACTTCCAACACTGGCAGCAAAAGGGTGAACGAGAGCATACCGGCCCTTTGCCGAAGTCTTGCGGACCCCTCACCCGTCTTCACTTTTCTTCGCGATGCCTCTGGACGTCACCTCTGGTCTTGGAAACTGCGCTATGAGCCAATAAGTGCTGAGAACGATACGAGAGCTGCTCCAGCTACTCAGCGACTTAGGAATACGAAACATTTTAAGAGCTATCTGGAAAATAGCTGGCCGATTAGACAGTCGGGGGGGACGGGAGATCCGTTCTTGCCCAAGACGAGGGATAATATTCCGCTTGTTAGAGCGTAGGTGTCTTTTGATTCCTACATGTGTAGCGTTTCAATGCAATTTTGGTTTTTTTGAAGCGATTGACTCTCTTGATTCTCTATAGAGTTTGTGGATGGCGATTAGCAAAATTGTTGTTCACTGCCTACACAGCTTTTTCACTTTGAAATGTCAAATTTTCCCAACTTTCGTATTTGAACGAATTTCCTTGTGTGTTTCTTAGCAATGTAGTTTACCCAGGGCTTGTCGTATTTATCCAACTTATTTTCAAAAAAAGCATAATATCCTGTTTACGTGGATACAGAAGTAGCGAATCTTCCTGTGTAAACTATGGTCATCCGTAGATAATGTTTTTGTCTTATGATCACCAGATTACAGTCTCATAAACTTTTGGTTTTGTGCTGACTAGTTTGAGGCAATAAAATAAAACCTTGTCCGTCTTTTTAGTACCTATTTTGAAAAAGAAATCAGGATCGTATGGGTATTTGCAAGCAAGTGATATAATAGTTGTTAATAGTATTTCTACGTATCACGGGACTAGGGTATTTGCCGAGGTTGGACGTCATTTTCAACCCTTCTGTTAGGGGTCTTCACACATTCCCCACCCACAGCATATGCTGTTCTTCTGTCACATTATGATGTATCAATCAGGTTTAAAAACCAAGGTAGTTGGCCTTTGTGATCAAGTTCGCTTTCCACTTCCACCAATAAAGCGGTCCGAGGCTTCCCTGAGGACGAAATAAAACAGTATTAGAGCAGAGTATGTATTGGGCTGAAGGGCCACTGGCATGGCGCGGAGACCAGACCATCAAGTGAAGGTGCAGTAGAGGAGCCAGAAATGGCCCATTAAAAAAAAAACTGAGAATTAAACAAACATCCAAAGTATTACTGGCGCACCACGAATTAATATATTCCTTGCCACTGCTGAGGACTCAAATTCTCTTTAAGACCTCACGAAAATATTTCGCCTGTTGTTTTTTATGTAAACAAATAACCAACGATGGCAAAGGTCACAAATTTTCTAAAAAAACGCCTTTTTTGATGACAATAAGGCTTTGAAATTTCACCACAAATGAGCCATCTGTTTGCAGATCATGAAGATCTAACGTCGTTTTACCTACTACTTCTGTACCTTGATCAGCGCGCTCAGAGGGTAATGATAGTTAATGATGCACTTGCCTCCTCCATCCTTTTTTCAGAGAGAAAGAGATGCCAACTCTGGCACAGTCGGTGTTTGGCTCGGTGGCACGGCGGGAGGTAGACGCACTCAAATCGCTCATAGCCTCGGAGGCGGAACGCACCGCTGCCCTAGGACGACGCATCCAGAAGGCTCGAATTAAAGCCTTCACTTCATCCTACCCCGAGGAGCAATGCCGACCCCAACAGTCAGTTCTCTTTTCTGCCTAATACGTCCAATCGCACTTTCCAATGGGTTCCAAGGTTATATCGGAGAGAACGAGATTAAGAGGCGAAGAGTGTTTTCGGTAGTTAGGCGCAGTTTTAAATGCTCTTCATTGGTTCGGTCGAAGCTTCATGGTTGAATGTCGACCATAGTTTATTTTTGTCTTCGTGAGCTCAAGCTTGTTCAGACTTACTACGGTGATCAGAGACTATCTAGGAGTGAGGGGCTTTGTGCGGATGTCAGGTTATTTTGCATGGAAACAGGCGCTTTCTCCGCCCTTTTTGGCTTTACTGCGGTTTTGTATCTCAACAATTCACGCGGGATTATGGTGGCCATGAAAGAGTGCATAACTTGTGCGGCTCTACACAACGGTATTGTGAAATTCACTGAAATTGGAACTTTAACTACAAGATTGTTCCCTTTTTCGGTTACCGTCCGGGCCACCTACGACTAGTTACCTTCTAGAAAGCCTGAGGTACTGTTGAATCTCAACTTTGAGACCTCGATGGGTGGCATTTTTTAAACGGTAAACATGTTGACAAACAACATGTTCAAATCTTTTGCGCCATTTTTTGGGAAAATATTTGCAGGCAAAATCACTTGAATTTTTCTGGGAAGACTCCAATTTGTCTCCTTTGCTAAAATGGCCTTAGCCCAACTTGGATGGATGAGTGTCAGGCCTCATGCTTGTCTGATATATGACGATATTCTTCCATGCCATTTTTTTTGTTGACCTCTTAATTCCCCCTGCGCGGTCATTTGTTTGTAGCTTTAGGAGCATTCTTCGGTGGTTTATATAATCCACAAGCATTTTTTTTCAATTCGCCGCAGTTTTCATCGGCATTTAATGACTTTTTTTGAATTATAATGGTTGACTGTTGCCTACACTTTGTGTGGTCTCACCCTCGTGAGTCCCTTTAGATATGAATCGTTTGTTAATTTTGACCCCTATCCGTATTGGCTGGAGCTCTTTTCAAGTTCTTGCTGTGAGTCTGTGCTGTTGGTTTTCCATGATCACAAAGCTGCTTAAACAAAGGCTGTGTTTAGGTTGGATTTTTTGTTATTAATCTTACGAAGTCATTTAGAATGGTTTGAAACCTAATCAGATTTAATAAATCATGAGTCGCATTAAAAGACGGTTACAACAACACATTCTGAATCGCAGGTGGTGAAGGGTCGTTGAGTGTGAGAGAGTGGCTCGCTTGAACCGCAAGAAGTTTTTTTTTTAAATGTAGCAAATCGTTAACCACCATTTCACAGTCAGTACTTTTGAGTTAGCCTTTTTGAATCTGCGTACTTTTGACTTGTCTTCGAGGCCCTGCTTCTCGGTCATGGGGGTTTAGTTTACTCCAAATTACCACTGTGATGGCTTTTTATAGGAGGCTGGAGAGTTAATGATTTTGGATTTTTGTGGATTGGTCATCCGTGGGCAGATAATCACCAGAGGCTGTTTTGGAATGACAGCAATACAAAGTGAGGGATATGGTATTCATGCATAACTATATTGTAACATATACTCCACCAATCTGGTTATCTTATGAGATATTGTCATTAAAATTAGTCGGTTCACTTCCTTTGTCAAAATTAGGCCAAAATTCTTGTTTAAGAATTAATGTTTGCTTGAAGACGAAAAAATTTGTAATTACTAAGGCAGAATGTGTACGGGCTACGTACAGAAGGGAATGAATGCTACTGGCATGGCCCGGAGGCCATTGTGCCAGCGGAAGGAAAAAGGGCGAGCCTTAAGTGTCCGCTAAACTAGCCGAAGAGTTCAATAAATAATAGAAGCAATCATGGTCTCTTCTCTTTTGGGCATCGTCCTCGATAATCCCCTTGGACAACCTCCCGCGTCGGCCATCCCGATGTAGTCGGTACTGTAAGAAAAACTCACACTAGTCTTTGAATTTGCGCATACTTGAGAAGATATTTGATCGCAACGTCACTGATCTCACTTGGCAATTCCACTTGATCTGGAATTTCTTCCTGTTTGGAAACTGTATAGGGGAAGTGAGAATGTGCTGGGCAGCACATATGCCCATCTCTAGTCGTAAGAACACTAGCCTGAAAGCAAAGTCATCTAATGAAGGATGGTGTTTGAAACAGTACCGTGAGGAGAAGGTCTCACATCCGTTCCTTTTTACCACTGTTCTCACTTCACTGCTACCCAGCCAAATCTACCTACATTCTATCCAGCAAGTAGAGAGGTGGAGGGGTTGTCGCATGTTCACTTAATTGATATCTTCATACAGGTACGGTAAAAAGCCCCGTAACAAACTTTTCCAGATGGTTTACGGCTACGGCTAGTGTCGCTTCAGTTGTTCACATCCGATGTCCCTCCTCTGTCACTCTAAGGTTTCGCATTCAATAGTAGAAATCATGGTATTTGCATTCTGGGGTTGGATTTGCTTTCTGCTGTCACCAATACGGCGCCCCCAGGCTTCCTTTTAGACAGAAGAAGACGCAGTAACTGGGTGGAATGCGTATTGCCGACCTAGAGGTCTGGAGGCCACATGGCCCAGCGGAAGTACGATCCGGGAGCCCTAAACAAAACGTAGATTTAAGCAAATAATCAAAGTATTGAACCACTACTTGTTTCTATTAACCTCTGAGGTGTTGAGAAGTGTCAAGCAGTTGGTTTATACTTTGTTCCCGTTGAACTATTTATGGAAAGCATCCAACTTAATTTGCTGTGAGATGACTATTTTCTCATCTGTTCACGGACTTAGCTAATAATATGCCGCGGGGTCAATCAAATTATATGATGCATCAAGTTTTCCTTTTATGGAATATGAGGCCGGATTGTCCTCCATCATGCAACAAAACTTCCGCTCATTTGCCTTTTTATGACAATAGCTACTCTGGAAGAGCAAATAGAAATTTTGACCTTAGCTCCTGCCCTGAAAATCTAAATGGGGCCAGAACAAATGGCATTAGCTGGCATACCTCCATTAGAGGTGGTGATTTTCCCTTATTTGGAAATAGGTTATTCAGTGATGTGCGATGTTCTTAACAGGGCTTCTTTTCGTTCCTCGCTGCAGGCGAATTGATGCAATGTCTTCAGGTCACCTCCTTGCTTGCCACTTGGGATACGTCCCGGTGAACGCACTGCAAGGCTCAAGCAACTCCTTCTGCGTGCCTTCAGGTACCAATGCCGACAGCAACCATGTCACTAACTCCCCACAACCGAATTCCATCCCAAACCTGCGTGCGCGTTCATCGGGCTGGAAGCGACGCATTCCGGGCACGCGGAACGTGGGTGGGGGTGTGGACGCTGCCTCCCTTATACCCTCAGCCCTCATACCAGTTGACGCCACACTGGCTAGACAGCTAGATGACCAATTGCTGACTGGTCCGAGATCCACCGCCACTCTCTTCGTGTTTTATGTTAAGCAGGGTCAAACTTCTCTCGAGGATGTCATCTGCAACATGGTGAAGCCCACTTTTCTTATCTACTTTCGATTTGCCTCTACTTTGTGGAAATGCTTCGTCATTGGTTTAACGCAGATAGCGAAACATCGATTGTGCCGTTCCTATTAAAATAATGATGTCATCCTTTCTGTGACTTTGGTTTATGCCTCCTTGGCTGGTGTGGAGAATCAGTTTTGGACAGGTGGCTATATTCATGTGTTTGCTGGAGTTTCTTGTAGTCTGAGAGCCTCTTGTGAAGATCACGATAGGGTCAGCTTAGATATAGCATAAATGCACGTTATACTTACGCTTATTTGATGGTGTGTGTTCACTTTCTTTAATGGAGACTGTTTGATCTTCTATCAGTTTGAAATCATATCATTCTCTCAACTTGGGACTAGCTTCAGTTTGAAATGGATGAAGTTCCATCCTAACTCTTTGTCGTGTCGGTTAATTAACAGTCCAAAGCTCTTTAACGTGTGGATTCGGTCGCTAAGATGTGTGACTTGCCTACCTAGTAAGATCTGTCCCACCGCCTAACTTCAGCAGTTTTAGCAGTTGGTGTAAAAATCTTAAAATTAAAACTGCAGCCTAATCATCGTGGATAAAATTTGAGTCTCGCGTTGTTTTTTACACGCACAATGCGCAGGACTACTGGTCAGAAACACCGAAAGACTTCCAGTCTTTCCTCCACTCTCTCGGTTGGTGTGTGGACTCCGTACAACACCCGGGCTGGTGCGGACCTCTGCAGCGGTCTCAGTCCCCTTGGTCGAGCCGATTTGATGCCACTACGATGCACCTCTCTGGCTTTGATGTTCGACAACAGTCCTGCGGTGTTGGTAGTGGCGCTGCAGAAAGCCTCCGACGGAATGCGCCTGACGGCGTGAAGACCTTCTTCTATTGGGCTGACGCCTTCACTGAGGTGGTCACATTGTGTCCCTCTAAACGGACGAAGATCGATGAAAGTAGGTAGCTTTTCCTCTCTCAACTGTTGTTCATGCCTTGAAAATGACGGATGCCAGGGGTTTTTACCATTGTATTTCGCCCGAGTCATCTCTGAGGTCTCACTAGGGTGTCTCTACAGATTCAACTACCTGCGGCGGACGTCTTCCTTCTATGTCACTCCGTCATACTATCCAGTTGGTGAGATGTGATATTGCCCTTCTATTAGGTTGCGTTTTCTAGCACTTCTATCAACTTAGTGCTCTAATTGCCTCCAAATGCACTGAGGGATCTGGATGATGGCTTATTGTAAACGCACGGGAGGGTGAATGCAGAGCTTGATGCTACCCTTCCTGATGTCTGAAGAACTTATTTGCTCTATGATCCATTATTTAAAGGCTTTACATCGAGTTGTTTGCACCGAATCCCCAGAATTATAGTTCTGGAATTGAAGTTGAAAGTATCTCATGCTTTACGTTTGCAGGTTTTAAAGTCATTATTTTTTGGGATGTTTTAGAACCACCTGAAGATCGTTCTTCGGCGGAGGATTTCCGGGCTGCAGTTCTGTGGCTAGAGTCATGGGGAGACGCGCTTTGGGTTCCCGGCTGGACAAGCGAAAGCGGTGGTAGCGCAACAGCATCAGCGTCAGTAACATCGAATCCGCTGAGGACTGCACTCGAGGTCCAATTCTCCTGCAGTTTGGTTGCGCTAGTGCATCCATTGGCCAGCAATGGTCTCTTTCGCCTCGGCCTCCTGCAGCTCCATGATCTTGGCCACGAGGCGGGTCCACTGACCACGGGACTGCTGCTCAGTGCACCCCTTCTCGGTGCGATGGTTCGCTCAACCCTTGTTAACACTCTCCACCGACTTGCTGCTGACTCTGGTGATCCCACTAACACTACAGCCCGAAAGCGTCTCGCTGCTGTCACGGCGTCGGCGGCAACGGGTAGTACAAAAGGACGCGTCGCGTCTGCTGTCCAGCTGCTGCTCTGGTCTGCTGAGCGGTGCTACTGATTACGAGATGCCCACAAAGCCCAAACATATCCTGACAACTGTCTGCCACTATTTCTCCGATGTGTATGTGTGCGCCAAGATGTACTGCCCTTTTACTTGCCTATTTCTTTACTTCCTTCATTGGATATTAAACTGATTATACAGGGTTCCGCTTCTGATAAAATGTACGTGCTAGAATGGGCTGGACAGCTAAATGGTTTCGGAAAAGGGAAATTTCGGTTTCATCGGTCCCCTTTGAGGAGCGTCGTTGGAAGTTATTCCTAACTAACATGATGTTAGGATCACATTAATCAAGAGTTTTTACGGACCAGAATTCCGCTCTTCTGGAGATGGTTACAAAATCCCCAGGATAATTCTCGTCTCCGCTAGATAGAGCACTTTGTTTGTCCTTTGAATTGACATCTACAGGGCTGACAACTTTGACTCATGAGAAAAAATAGGATGCATTTTAGCGTACCGTGGCTTTTGCACATTTCCATTCTTCGCTACACCATGGCAGACCGCTTTCGCCTTTATTCACTCATTCTACTGGTGACCAGAATGATGATGGATTGCACATATTTCCAAAATATCTACAAAAATATGTAAGCCGACAAATATTCGAGACGGGTTCTGTTTCTAGACGTTAAGATTTGTTGCCTTTGTCACTGAAAACACGTTTTCTAGTTGGCCTTTTCAAAACAATTTCAAATGCTTGTACATTACAGCTCGTTGAATGTTTCCTTAGGACGAAAGAAATCACAATGCTAGGACAGAAAACGCATTGTCGGCGTACAGAAGGGCGGGTGGGGGGAGGGTTACTGGCATGGTCTGTAGGTCGCGCCGTCATAGCGGAGCTTTTAGGGCCCGCGAAGCCAAAACAAACAAATAACCAAAGTATTACATCTTAGATATTCCTATGCCATTCCATTTAGTGAACTGACTACTCTGACAAACGACCGCATTATGCCAAGTAGGTGACAGGTGGTTTCTTGGTGGCAATATTTGTAACGCAAATGGGATAAGTAATTGTTTACATAATTCCGTGGCAGTTGCTGCACGGGTGTCAAAGGCAAGTGCATCATTTTTGTAATCCACCTTACTCACCATGTCAATAAAGTAATTGAGGTAGGGGACAGTCATTACCTTTCATATTCGTAGTATCTGAGTGCCGATTTATGTCGGGACAATTGTCTATTCCCCTTTTTCTTCTCCAGGCGTGTAGAGGTGGGGCATGTTTCCAATATTTAAATGGGGGAATATAGGACTGAAGAATCAAGTGTGTAATTATATATCCCGTCTATTTTGGAAAAAGGTAGATGATGGCTTAAAGAAAGAAAAGCCATAGATTGATGCACCTTGTACTCTGGGGCACTATCTTGGAAATTCTATTAACTTTGAAAAGGGGTTGTCATGAGGGGTATCAAGTTGTAAGCATATAATCGTTTGTCTAAATTCATAAAAATGATGATATGTAACTTTTTAGAAGAGTTATCCCTTTTAAAAGTGATCGCCAGAAATTTCGGGAAGGTTTATCTCCCCATGGGACATTTTTGTATCGCCCTTGCAGAACTGATGTTTAACGCAGCAAATCGGTCAATTCTTCAGCCTTTTGTGTTCTTCGATAGTAAAATTGGATTTCCAGATAGTCTTAAAGAGGGATGTTAAAAATTGACATAGTTTTCCTCCTGAGGGGCAATTCCAAGTCGATAATTAAACATTTCATTCTGAAAAGGGCATAAATAGGACCGATTTTGGCGGTAATCAGATAAGGATCCTGTTTCTGGAGACAAATGTATCAATTTTCTAGAGTTCGGTTACTAGACTGCACTGAAATGTTGAACGGGGAACAAATAGATGGAAAATTTGCACGTGGCGAACGGACGGATCGTACACTGGAATATTGTGGTGTTTAAGCTCCCCGAGACTGCCCTGAGTTCGAAGGAGCACATAATCCCTAAGTCGACGTACAGAAGGGCTGTGGGGTTACCGGCGAGGCCTAAAGGCTATTGCATTACGCAAAGAGTACAAAGGCGGAGCTTTACTGTGCCTGTGGAGCTAAAACAAATCGTTAAACAAATATTCAAAGCATTGCGTAGTCCCCTTTCCTTTTGAGCGTTACGTCCTGCGCTCCCCTTAATCAAACTCCCGCGTCAGCCATTACAGCGTATTCGGTACAATAAGAAAGACATTTACAAAAAAACCGTGCTAGTCATCGAATTTCTATGCAATTGGAGAGATATCCGACTGCAACACCAACAATTTCTCGTGGGAATCCTACTTTGTCTGGATATTCACGCTGCTTGGGGACTGTAGTTAGGTTTTAGGGGGGAGGAATGTGCCAGCCTAAATGCTCAGCCGTTAATAAAGGACAAAGTTTAAAATGGATTTTTCGCTTTTTCCTACTTGTCACTTTGTTCCCCTTCAATGCTGTCCAGTCCTACCTGTCTGGTAGACAAGTGGAGGAGATACCGCATGTTCAATTCATGAGCATCTTTGTACAGATACCGCAGACAGCTCTGCAACAAGATTTCGTAGATCAATTATGGCTACCATCGCCTGACTTGTCTCGCAGAACATGGGACTAAGTTAGGTACCGAAGGTAGACATCGTTTTCAAACTTTCTGCTAGGGGTCGTCACATGTTCTCCCATTGCCAGCATATAACCTTCTTCCATCACGTAAACGTTTGGCATTTAGGAATAAAAGTTGGAGTTGTTGTTCTTTATGGTCAGGCATGATTTCCACTATTACCAACATAGCGCCCTGAGACTTCCCTGAAGACGAAAGAAGGCAAAATACCTGAGCAGAATATGCTTTGGTGATGTGAAGAGGGGATGGCCATACCGCCCAGTGGAAGTGCAATTACAGAGACTTAAATGCCCTTGAAAACAAGGCTATTAATCAAACAAACAAGCGAGGTTGGTTTGGCAAGGTAGTAACTTGGTTTACTCATTATTCCTTATTTGTGCGACAGATGATCGCCACACCTCGCTTCTCGTATGCAAGTGTACGACAACTAATATTGTGCCACAATTCAACTATTTGCTTGCCGCTTTTAGTTTAATAAACAACACTTTATCTCGATGGTGAATGTGTTCTTCAAACGCCAATACCATTCTCAACACAGCTTTGATAAACTAATTGTTGACACCTCGATGTTGTGCAGTGTTGAAGGAGTTCATTTCCCAAAATGTGTTAAATTCTACCTTCCCATCGACGTGTGCGCTTTCACAACCGCCTATAATAGTAAGGAAATAGCAACAAAGCGATTTGATTTTTGCATTAATGCATTGAAACGCGATAAATACGAGGGGATTTCAACTGAGTGGAGATGAGCAATTTAGGAATGCCCTTATTTGTTTTGAATAGGGCAGAAGCTCTTTAAGAGTGAAATAAATCCACCCAATAAAGACATCTTGGCACACTCATATTAAGTGCATGAGATGGCCAACCGGAAGATCTTGACACAGCACGTAAGTTCGGCTTATGGAATTCATAGGAGATCTCTGATAGGTATTGATATACATCCACATTACACTGCTTGCTGTCGCACACCTTGAAGCCTTCGTAATGTTGAAGGAATATTTATCAGGTAATTTACATCGGTTGATGCTTGGAATAGCGGTTGTGCGATTGCACTGGACACTGGGCTGCACAGATCTGCATTTTTTATAACGCGGAGAACTATCCAGTAAGGTAGAACCAGAACATGCTTGTGACTGTCTTATGGTGATCAGAAGCCATCCGCTAAATATTTGCGCAAGAATGACGACGGCATGGATCAGAGTGGAGCCTGCGATAAAAACGAGAGAGGCGGGAAGTTGGGTCCGTGCTGCATTGCACACATTCCCCCAGTCAACCCGGCGGGTCATTAGAGAAAATCCTACCATTGACCACTATCATCGAGTCGGTTGTAAAGTTATTGAGAAAATGCGTGGCTTTAGCAACTTCACAGGTGATGATCTCGGTTGCCGGTCGCCCCTCTAAAAATAGCAAGTCCTGTCATTCAGTATTTACCACATCCTGAAGTTGTTAAATGAAATTTTAGGTTATACGCACAATATCATGCCTAATAATATTGCCACAAACTGGTTTTATGTCCCTGTGCTCAGGTCTCCTTCCTGTCGTATCCAGTTTCCAATCCTAGCAGCCAGTAGATAAAGGATTCAAGCAGACGTCTTTATTTGCCGACGCATCTGCGCACGTGATAGCTAGTAGCAGATTAATTGAGTGGGTAATGGAGGGCGTCCGAGACCCTAGACGGCCTTCATTTTTGCCTCCCGCATTTGCAGTACTTTGATTGACCCTGGCCTTATGTAGAATGACACAGCACATTCATGGCATCAGTCAAACAACCGGGAGGAACTTGCTGACTGACTGGCTGACCGGCAGACTGAAGAGAGTCCAACGAACTGTTCGAATGGCTTGATTAGTTTTTAGAGGTCTGGCAATCAAATGTAATAAACCATTAACTGTAGGCATCGAACACCTATCTAAATCCTTCTAAATGCTGGCCACATCGACACCTGAAATCGTCCAACATCCCATTCGCCCTCTAAAAAATGGCACCGCAAAAGCATCTTTTATCGTGGCAAATTAATTTGCCAAACCCCATTCATCACCGTATCACATCACACACTCATATTTTCCAGAGGTACTCTTTAAATGATATTTTTTACACTGTCTAACACTTTACCGCGAGGGTTTTTTAAAAAAAAGGCATCTTGGTAACGATTAGCTGTGGAGCAACCAAACAGGACAAGTGCTAGTAACTAGTTTAAAATAATCCCATTCCTTCTGATTGCTTCTTTCTTAGTGTTACAGTAAAATATACTTTACCATTTATTGACGTTGAATGGGCAAATTGCCTCAACGAAATGTTATTTGATGACCCATAGGTAAGGTGAATATCATTTGATGGGTTAGAGTTTCGCCTTGCCTTCAACAACTGAATATTCTATAAGGTGTAGGGGCCTTGTGGCTGGAGTGAACCGCAATCTCTGGTGAGTCAATGGCCGGAATCAGTGTGTCGGCAAGAAGACGGACGAGTTGAATGGAGCTAAGGATCACGGTGAATCAGACGAACACTTCCAACGCCAGTGGACACGACCGTCCCTTTTCAAATTGGTTGATCAAGAAACACCGGGGAGAACATGTAAGTCATGCCACTTTTTAAATAAGGCTAGGCGCCTTGTCCTTGTGAATACTTCATGCAACCTTAAAGCGCCGATAATAGAAAATGTGTTGTTTCAAAATCTCGTTGGGTGAATGCATGCCCACAAAATTTCGTCAGGGTTGACTGAGAACAAAACCTTAATAGAACATTTACATTGAAGTTCCATACAGACCAAAGGATTAGGTGTTTGGGATGGTTCAACGAACTCTGCATCTGTCAGTTAGCCACTTTACATCACTGGCACCAATATGGAGACAGAAGTGCATGAAGGCTAAAGCGTGGGCAGTAGTGCCGATCCAGTCGGTGAAGGGGTAGGGTGGTGGAGTTTCAACCTCTGTCGTACTGGCTCAGTTCGTTGGCTAAGAGCTGAAGAAAGCCTATTTGGAAGATGTTCAACTCTTCACTCCTCAGTCTTATATGAGCTGTCCGCTTCAGTGACTAGAAATTCAGGATATCAAACTCATGTGAATCGATTTAAAGGGCGTAGTATAAACTCTTTTCTCCCAAACTCATCTCCACTTCTGCAATCAACACCGCCTTATATAATAATACACTACTGGAGCAGCAATGTTTCATATCAGAAAGTGATGACCCCCTACAACACTTTGTTGTTCAGAATGGAAGCATGGCTCAATAAAGTGGACCCTAGACGGACTTAGACAGCGAATTCGGGGGCATAACATACGTTTTGATAAGGAAATGCGTTGTTTATAAGATAAATCTACTAAATGCCCTTCATGATAGTAAGGCGTTAAGTGCGAGAAGAAAGGACTGGCAGGTGTGACAGACTCACCCAGTAAGAACCAAGCACTGTGGACAAACAGAAGTGTCACTGGGAGACATCCGGAACGTAGATGTGGCTTCCATCTAATTAACGTCAAATCCGTGCATGACGCGTGGTTGAGAGGCCAAAGTGACAGTTACTGATTTAAGTAGTTCTGGTAACCTCAATTTTACGATCCTCGATTTCTGTGTCGTCAGGAAGTGTAGAACCGCCATGGACTTTATTCTCACAGTATCACAGCCGCAAGTCATGAAGCGTGTTCGTACCAATTTGATCGCTGTCTCATTTGCATATATTGCGAAAGAAATAAGATCGGATTGCGGACCATGGTTAGGTACTCATTGACGTTGAAGCCGAAGACAGTTATCCTCACGAAGAAAAACTTCCAGTTCATCTACTTTTCAGAAGTGATGTTGGATAAATTGTGATTTGGAAAGCAATTACTTGAATCAAGATATTATTGCAGGGAAGCTGTTCTTTCAGATGAGCGATTGACGTTGTCAGCTACACAGGGCAGGGCGTTCAGCCCACTCATGGTAAGATCGGCAGCACTGACTTGACAGTAGCAAACTTCATGGAAGTCTGCAACATTCGCGTGAAACTTGGCGCTTCCGGGAGCAAGCGCATTGCGCATACTTCCTACTAACATGGCGAGGATTGTCTCCAACGTCTGTGCCATCGATTCACCCTGACACCATAGGCAATAAGTACTACCCCCACCACCACTAAAGGTCACCTTGGTCACGTAGGTATTCTCTTTAGCGCATATGTGCTTGAAGAGAACGTTGTAATTTATCCAAGACCCAATAATGAAAGCACTTTTGGATTCAAGGATGTACTTGAGAGGCGAATCATAGTCACTAGTGAGTAATCAAGTTCTTATTGTGGTATCACGATTCAAAGGAGCTCCACCGCCATTCACTAGGAGTCGCAAATCACCTTGCAGACCGACTACAAATATCAACTGGCAAGCGTTGTCATGATGGCCACTATAGCAAGCAAATTTCGTGCCTCCCCCCTACGATATGCCCGATCGTCCACTACCATAATGCACGTGCAAGGGGACTGTCCATAAAGGGTTTGGAAAGTGCCCTGTCCAATTACCCATAAGTTGGGAAGATAGGACATCACTATCCATGCATTTATCAATCGAAACTCGGGAAAAATGAATGGATAAAGACGAAGTATCATCATCCTGGCGTCGCTTCAAGCAAAAGCAATTTCTATTAACATCAACAACGGCATACATTTCCAATCTAATACTTCGTGGCCTGTAAACTTATGCCAGCGGAATTGCGCCGTCGGTAGAAAAGCGGTATGGATGCATGAAAGCACTTCCGAAAAATCGCATCTATATCGTCTTGTGCAGTAATTTAATCAAACAAATGCTGTCGACATTGAAGAAGACTGGATCGTCCTTCGTTTATTTGGGTATTCTGCATTTGTGGTCAATTTTCCTCGCTTGCTTTGGTGAAAACGTTTCCGGAGTGTAGGATTTTTATTTATTAAACAACTTGTGAGCTTAACTACCAATGGCATTTAAATATAAGGTGTTCCTATTTCGTTGCTCATCCTTACAGACATCTGTGACTCTCATGAGTTTCTCCCCTTCAAATGCACTAGTGCTAGACCAGGGAACTGGAACCTGTGAATCCGTAGGTGTAGTGCAATACTTATGTTGTTTGAATTTGCCCTGCAGGGAGGAGGCAAGCAGGAAATTCGAACCTTGTAACTGGATCGCCCTCTCCCTTACCTAGTGACTGCGGCTCCCCTCCTTCTTCAATATTGTATTTTCCCTATACATCTTGTCGTCTTTAATAAAGATGTCCAAAGCAAACCAACCGGGCTTGTCTAGGAACGCTAGGAATCGGGAAGCGGAGACCGAGGAGTCTCGCTCCATAGTAGGGTGGACGGCTCTCCCATTAGGCAACAGCTCTGACACAATCACCACCGTTGACATTGAGACGACATGTGAACGTCTCATTGGCTGCCATTACTGAGGGACATTCAAGGGCGTGCTCAAAGTCAAAAGCAGTCTAGCAAATCTCTGTCACACCCTTTTTCTTAGTTGCACACATCAGTGTGAAGAATAAGCAGTGCATCAATGATGTGCCGAAATTCGGTTAATCGCATCTAAGGCAGGAGGACTGACAATACACACTTGAACCAAGCCTAAGTTAACAAGCAAGGTGAAGAGCAAGATGAAAGGGGTTTCGATAAATAAAAAACGAACAACTGATAAAATTGGAAGCATCAAAATCAAGTGTCACAAATTGATGCAAGTCGAGAGGTCCTAAGTGCCAAAAGAAGCACATGCCATGTAGAGTGCTGACAGGATGAAAGTACACGAAAAATTGGAGTATAACTTTGGGACTTAGTATTTACCGTGAGGTTCTCCGCCACCATCGTGGTCTTAATGCCTATGCGTGCTCTTGCATGGCGTTTATGTTCAGATCCGTCTGCGTATTTGTGCTATAAGCAGGCATTTAACTCTCTTTCAATGAGGCTCAGTTGAAACAGTTTGCAACACCTCTCCAGCCACGAGGCTTCTGTAAATAGTGCGTTGTTTCAATTAGAGGGCGCGTTTATTTTATGGCGAAAACATGAAAAAATAGTGGTAAAAGAAGGAGTAGGTAAAGGAGGTGAGTAAGCGAATAACTAAGTGCATGTACAAATGAATTGGCGAGTCTGTGGATGAACGCACGCATATTGTTGCAAACGCAAATGCCGAGCATTAATTAAAGACGGAGAACTAGAGGTCTAATTATAGCCATAAAAAGAGACGTCCGTCTTTGTGCTACAAAGACTACCATTAGCACCAGTCTGGAGCGGGAATTTTGCAAAAAGTCGGATGCACCAACACTTATGCCTCATCGGTGGCATATCTACACTCTCCTGTCTCCGAGACGATTCTTCGCAAATGCCTAACGATCAGGCTAGATGCAATGCGCCGGTGGTATGCATTGTGGAGGAATTGGTTGAGGCTGACCGACAGAAACAGAAAGGTCAACGATGTGTGAATAACTAACATGCCTCAGTTCACTTCTCACCTTCTCCTTTTTTACCGCACCTTTGACACTACCACTGATGGACTCTGCCAGTCTATCAATACGCTACTATTCATTACTCTCTCCACCACTTGCCTCTCACCTTTCACCAACACAAACTTGTGTTCCAAAGTCGAGCCTTAGACCACCTCCTCACTAAATTCATCCCAAACTATTTATCATTTGGAGGCCGTGTCACCTGAATCAGTCCACGATCAGGAAGATTTTCCATTCTTCATATTGCACAATTACACATCGTCGGCGACACGTCATAGATGGATCAGAGGTTGCAGTTGCGAATGTCACCAAGCAAGTGGTGGGTCACTCACATGCACAGGGATTTGCCGATAAGCAGCAAATGCAAAAGGTCTAGCTTCAGGAAGTCTATGAAAAAGGTGACATCCCATTCTCAACCAAAAATTAGTGTCAAAATTGGTGGCCTCAGTATTTATTCTGACATATGGAGGTGACTCGTGAACGAGACCATCTGGCGTTGCAAAAGAACTTTATAGAAGGCCGACAGATTTATATGACAGCCTTAAAATCGTGAAATCCATCCGACAAGGGGTTGATATGCCTCATGTGCTTTAAACATTCTAGTCATCAAAGATGATATTTTAGCCTTTATGTTAGTGATTTGACATCCGTTTTGGCATATATGTTTAATTACGTGGGATGAGGACCGGCGGCTGGTGGTACGGATTCACAGTCGCGTTGATAGTCTCGCTAACCTTCTTCTAGATGTTGCAGTCTTGTGAGGCGAGTGCTTCACAAGCTAAGAGAGGAGCACGCTTGCAGAAGTTCCATGAAACAGTCTTTGAAGCTAGTGGTATTGAAACACTTTAAACAATGGCTGGGAAGTCAACTACACACCTCAAGGAGGCCTTCGGAACTGCTCTACTTTGCTTAATTATTAGTGAATAATTAACCAAACCATCAGTAGAAAATATTTAGACAAGTTTGTGTTTATTCACTTTTAACCATTACGATTTTAGTGAAGGCTGAGCGGTCAAACGTTGCATCCTGCTAATTTAGGCTTAAAATATCGTAGAGAAGATGAATGGGCCTGTCAACGATTGGCTAAAAGCCTATTTTTTGTCCTAAGGCTAGCTCATTGAATACGAAAACATATGTAAAAGGATTTGGTAATACGCGAAACTACTGACTATCTGTGATTGATTACTGGCCATTGCGAAGATGAAAATATTGCCGAGGAATCTAATGGAAAGTATTATACGATGAGGAAACATTGGCATCAAGGAGAGGGTTCCCTTCAGCATGCAATGAGGCCGAAGCAATAGGTACGACTAGGTCATGGTGCAAAGGTGGAAGCAAAACTGGGGAGTTTGAGAAGTCCACTTTGTTAAAACCAATATCATTTCGTTACATAGCTCTTTTTGCTTTTCCAGGCCATCTCTATCGCTTTTCATGGTTAATTCGGTAATAACAATTCATTTAGTGCTTTTGAAAACATCAAAGGGCATAAATGCAATTTATTCCATTTTCGTAGAGGCAAAATTCGTTTGATCCTAAAGTCAGTGAGGCATACCTCAGGGTACATTGTACCTGAAAATTGGTGCTCTTTGTAAACGGCCTCGAGAGAGAGGAGACTCACTGGTTTCCTGCCGCTCAAAGCTGGACGAGGCTCCACAACGTGTACATTTACAATGCCAGTGACTGCATTTGCCTAAAAGAAGAGATATTCAGCAAACTGCATAATTTGAATTAGCTACATACAGATAACATTTCGTATCCATTCCTATCATTATGCGGCTCAAACCGCTAAACCAAATTCCAGGGCCATGGAGGATGCATTATTTACTTGCGCGATGGATAAGCCCTTTAATAAATACCATAGCAGGTCCATGCGAGATATATTTCCCAATTTCCACACCTCCTCACCTTTTGGATTTCCGCCTTGTAGAACACTAAATTGTTGAAATTGATTTGGGCGAACGTGGCTTCGACAAGCCTTCGGCAGTGATTCTCCACAAATTCAGCCATTCACGTCAAATGATTCCTTCCGTAACGTCTGGGTTTGGCATGCGTTTGTTTGATCTGGCTTCGCCTACCGCTGTAACAAATGTAGCATGCAGGAGCCTTTCTGAAGTCAAGAGTTTGTAGGGCATGGTTGAAAGACCGTGCTATTAAAATGGAGTAGCTAGATCAAATCAGCTCTAAATCTCTTTATCGGGAAAATTTGTGACGCTTTGAACGCCGTGGTGACATCGAAAATCTGTGTCAAAGTACACCTATACTTGGTTAAGTGGGGAAAAGGACTGACGTTACCTTTAACGCCGCAGTACTTCGAATAGTCCTTAAACTTTTCGTTTCTGTTTCATAGACACTTAAGGCTCCGCTTCTGCTGCATGGTCTCTGGCCCATACAAGTAATCCAGCGCCCACCCCTTCACCCTTCTGTACGTCAATAGCACATTTTTTGGCGTAGTAATACAATTTTCCTCGTCTTTAGGGAAGTCTCGGAGTGCCACATCGGTGGCAAAGGAAAATGAATCCGATCCTAAAGGATAGCTACCCTTAACATGACGGAGGAGGAGCATATGCTGCAGTTGGGGAAATATGTGACGACCTATAGCAGAAGGAGTGAAAATGACATTTGTCTTGATGACAACCGCACTCCCATTTTATGCAGGAATGCTATTAGCAGTTGAAGCGACAGCAGTAGTGGCCATGGACCATCTAAAAATGTTCGTTACGGAGCTATCCGCCATACATGTATGAAGGTGTCAATGAAGCAAACACGCGATACCTTCTTTACCTATCCACTGGCTGGAGAGAACCAAGATAGCCAGGTATGCCTGGACAGCACTGAAGCACGAACAATAGGGCAAGGAGGAAGAGGTTTGAAACATTATTCCAATGGAAATAGTTAAACTCTGCCTCTTGTCAAATGATTGGTTTTAGGTCAGTATTCTCTTACCTGATGATATACGTAGGAGATGATAAGTACATCCCTTCTCTCTTAATACAGTTTCCCCTCAAGACGAAAATTTGCATTCACTAGAATTGCCGGGACGGATCAGTGACGTGACAGATAGGTATCTTAGTTGCACGCAACATCGATGGCTATCCAGTTGGTTCGTGGATGTTTTTCTTACAACACCGACTACGTTGTGATAGCAGACGTGGAAGGTTGACCAATGGTAGGGCTGGAGACGATGCTCAAAAGGAGAGGGGCTGTATGCGGCTTTAATTATGTTTTTAACTCTTCGTTTGATTTTCTCGGACACCCAGGGCTTCGCCATTGAATTTTCGCTTAGCGACGTGGCCCTTGGAACATGTCAGTAGCCTCCCGGCCCTTTTCAACGTCGACAATGCATATTCTGCCCGAGTATAATGTCTTCTTTTGTCTTCAGGGACATCTTAAGGAGCTACAGTTCCTTTGGAAATTTGCCTGTATTGTCCTGTATCATCTTTCAATGCTGATGAAAGGTTTTTCCCTACCAATCTGACACTTACACAGTCATCGAAATTAATCAGACGGTTACTTTGTCGAAGGCATAAGTTGGTTTTTCTCAGGACAAATTAATTGCTTTTTTTTCAAATTGGCGAAACCTTAGTTTTGGGCCAAATTATCAGGTAAAAGTGGACATTTTTTTTCTCTGGAAAAAATATGGGAACGTATTCTTCAGCCTTGGCAAATTGAGAGTTAAACTTGAAGGCTAAATTTAAGGTCAAAGTGTTTTAGATCTTAATCAACTACTGCAACAGTAGCGGATACGATGATCATCCAAACAACTAACCACGGTTAATGGACTTCTCAGAGAGCAGGGATTTACTAATTTACTATATATGAAATATTCGGTAGCCTTCAGCGCTCCTCCACTTTGATTCAACCGCTAATTTCTTGCTAAAAGTCGCGACTACCATCGTTATAAACTTCAAATAAAGTTAATTTATTGAAGCTTTATGTAAGTCTGACTACTATCATTGTCATTTAATGGAATCTAGCTCTTAGTTTGACCAGGGAAGTAATGGAATTAGGCCAAAATAGCCATGAAGTATATAACCAATCAAAACGTGGATAACGAGTGAGGAGCTCTATCCTGGCAGTCTATCACAGTTGAAATCGGCTACATCCACTCAAATCTGTGTGTGAATGCTCGGGAGACCCACAATTTAAATAACCCACAATACCAAGACAGAAAATGCAGTGCCGACGTAGAGAA